AGCATTATTTGCTAAAGGGTTGGCTTGCTTTGATTTCTTTAAAAGGGAGCAAATGCTTTGCTTAAATCTCTAGTGTCTTGGCAAAAAGAACTATTAGGTGTCTGCCGATCTTCTTGTGCAAGCATGTGGTCATTAAGGTTATCAAAGCAGACCACACCCTATGGTAGTTGTTCTCATTTGGTCTGATTAATTTGCCAGAACCAGCATGCTAGCTGGAGAGTGCCCGAGCAAACCAATCAGACCTCTTGGGGAGCCTAAGAATTAAAAAGTGCAAAAGGTATTAAGCAATATAAGTATACAGTGGGAAGTGATGGGATCACTTCAGTATCATATACTGTGAATTATTTTAGCATTAGGTACGTGTTGAGTGTACAACAGACTTTCCTGCCAGCGGTTTAGTGGTGATTGGAATCACAGTCCTTCATTCTTTCTTGATCTGTCAGCATTCTCTAGAACACAAAGAGTGACACCTGGTGGCCATAAACCATTTGAGGCAATTTACAGTACACTGCAAATGAGTCCCCAACTCTTTTTACTTATCTTTTGCAGAGAGATTGTGTTTAGTTGAATGCAATTTTAGCACTGTTTGACAGAACAGTTTTCTGCCATAGGTGCTTAGGACATAGCACTGAGTATCCAGACCCTTGTGTTTATCCAGACCATTGCGTTTTCAACAGAATTACATGTTAATGGGTTATGTTCCAATATCGACGTATCACTTGTGACAGTGCACTGGGAAAAGTCCCACCCATGACGCACATACAACACAGGGGACCCATGTAGGCTCCTGGTGCGAGAGTGACTGTTTCAGATGAGTCTGAAAGAGCCGTGCCATGAGGATTCAGTCTCTGGTGTTTGCAGTGTGTGTGGTGGGACAGGTCTTTGTCATCCAGTTAACTCTCGGAGCACAGCTTGATCACTGAATCAGGGTACCTCCTCAAACACAAATGCTTCCTCTTTCAGACCCGTGTTAAATATTCACCCCTGCACAAGCCAAGTGTGAATAGGCGCCCTGCGTCATATGTATGAGACAAGCTGACCTTTCACTAACCATGACTCTGCACAATATGAAACCGATTTGTAAACAATGTGAAACAGGGAGTTATGCTTTATCTGATAAAAAAAAATCCATTCACTTTTTCGAACATCATGTCTGGGGTTTTGCAATCCGTGCTCAGTAAGAACTGCGTGTGGCTTTGTTCTTTGCTGTTCTTGTTTTTTTGTTTCGACAGCATGGATATTAAAGTAATCATAAACTGTTTTATCACTTGATTTCTTTTGAAGCATTAATTTGATCTATTGTGAATGGGTAGTCAAGTCGTGTGATTGTGCGCAGGGCGCCTGAGCAGTGGGACACTCACTCCCTTACTCATCTACATTTCTTCCATTTTGAATAGCCATGCTTTCAGGACTGCCCTCGCAGGAGCTCGCTGTGTTAATGATGAATCGAACACCGCTTCTTGCCACAAGACCCTGAAGCCTCCCTGCTCGGTTTGGCGAACAGGAGACTGGCTTCTCTGCAGGAGTTGCCAGTTAAATGTGAAATGAATGCCTGGAGCTGAGCACTGCCCTTTTGCCTTGGTTTCTGATTTCTTTATTCTGAAGACTCTACTACTCCCTGCTTCCTTTTAATTTTGCAGCAGTAGTCTAAAGATATTAAAGAGGTGGCTCTGTGGCAACTTAATTGTACAAAGAAATTGTAGCCCTCGATGTTCATCCAGTGAGTCCTGCTACCTTTGTTTTACCTACATGTGTTCAGCTAGGTGATTGACGACTGTGATATCCAAAATTATGGATAATGACAGCTTAGCTCTCAAATGATCCCTAGAGGGGCGTTTCCTTGCATGTTGAGACAGTCCTTGGTTACTGGGTTCTGAATGTAATATACATAAGAGGTGAGCCTTAAAATATAATTTTTTAAGCTCATTGTATTGTTTTGATTTGTTTCTAAAGTTCAGAATATGCGAATCATAGTCATGCTATTTGTGTGTATGTTTGCGAGTGCTTAATATATACTGAGCGTCCATCTTAACTGTAAGAAATTCATAAGGTTAACAGGATAAAGGGTTTTTTATATGGGTGCATTGACAAATTATTGAACAGTCATGACCTAGACAAATTCTTTATGCCGAGTGTAGCCACTGCTGAAACTCAAGCTGTACACCTGCAAGGCCTGCTTTGTCCAGGTCGCAGAGGCTGTTTCCTGGCATCATGTCTGATGAGACCCTGGACAAGCGCATGCCTGATCACTTTGTGAGGGGGCCTTCTCTGGTGACTGGGGCATCCGAAGCATAATTGTCGCATTCTCATCTCACAAGAAAGCCATGACGACATGCATAGTCCTGCTGGAATGTAGTAGGGCAGCCAGTGAGTCAGGTTGGCATCAATCACTGCAAGTGCAGTTGTCCAGCCAGTGGACGTCCCGCCAGACCTCCCCCTTGGTCTTGGCAAAGTCGTGGGACTCGTGGTCTTTCATTGACGGACTGTGTTTGGCTGTGATGTCCTGCCAAGTTGGATTTTGCTCTCTTTGTCCAACCTCCAACATACCTAGGATGCAAAGGCACTGTTCTCTTGAATCAGGGTATACTAGTTTCCTGTCATGTTTTTCTGTGCCCAATCAGCTCTTACTAATGAGGGGATTTAGTGACATTCAGGGACACTCAAGTGTGCAGTATTATCTAAAAATTAACATGACACCAAAATATTGAATCTATATCCAAAATCTGCGTACATTATATTTCTAAAAACATACTGGCATAAATAGAACTTTATTTCCTTTTAAGCTCAATATACATCTGGGATCCAAAATCCTGTTTCAGTCATATGTGTTAATTTTATGCACTTCCCAGTAATCATAATCGATAAAGGTCATGCAGTTTAGAGATGACACTGCCACACTTCCATGTGTACATTGAAGGAACAGATGCTACAGTATGTACTTGAATTGTTTTGGATGTTTAGTGCAACACGCCAAGTTATGCTAGATAGCAAGGTGTGTTTGTATTCTGTATAACATGAATCATAGATGTACACTGTTAATCACACTTTAGCAGCATGAAAAGTAAAGGTGACAAGCAGATTTTGTTAAGAGCTCAATGTCTGTTAAAATGCAGTGATGTGAAATTGTAAGTGATGTGTACTTTACACCCAGGAAACCCTTTTATAATAATGTGGATTTCCAGTGGACTGGATTTCGGTCAACCCAGCTCAAGGTACACACAACAGCTGACCCATAAATGCAGGGGAAATCTAGCAGAACATTCAATGTGCATGAGATGAGAATACTTATCTTCCTTTTGCTGCTTTAGTGATGATAGTATAAGGTCCTGCTAATGTAGAATAATGCAATTGACATTTAGACCTTGTAGTATGCATCCAATTTGTAATAGCTATGGTGATTTTTATTTTTAGTATTGCAGGTATATGCTGTGGTCTTGTTTTGATCTTCACATTCCCCTATTAGAGGGACAAGTGCCTGCTGTATTGTTGCAGATCTCCCTAACACTGCTTTTGTTTGGAACACGCAGTTGGTGAATCCAGTTCCTCGCTTGCCTTACAGATATGGATAGTGGGAGCATATAAGATATAAGAGCATGTTCCTTATACATAATGAACACAGGAGAATAAAAGGCTCAATGTATGCAGTACAATTCATAACTGATCTTAGGGAGCTGACGGACTGAAATGAATAGTTCCATTCAATTTATTTCTTCCCTGTCTCCACAGCAGTGTGGAAAGAGCAGGGTGTGTCCGTTCTGAGAGAGGGAGTGGGTGGAGGGACTGTCTCGATCTAATTTTTTCTCTTGAGCTCTTTCTTTTTGTGAAGGAAATGTCATATGCCCCTGGTGCTTTGAAAACCAAATGCATTATGTTATGTAGCATAACTCACAATTGCATTAAACACTGTTCATCCCATAAAGGTTTGTTTTATTCTGGCCTATGGGATTAAATTATACCCAGCTATGCACCCATTTGCACTGTTGTGTCCACGAACTGTTCACAGGAGCAAGCAGGCAGTAGCTCATGGTCATGACTTTCACATGTAGCTGATGGTATCTCATTTTATTGCTAAAGAGTGATGGAGCTGTTTAAACTTGAATGAAACGTCTGTTTTCAATTAAATCATACATAGGAATTTCTCACTTGGTTGTGACATTTTATTTTTTCTCTTGGGAGATTTTGCCATGTCTTGTCTAAAGGTCTAACTTGGTCTGTTTATATAAGCACAAGGTACACCAAAAAGGGTATTGTGATGTGAGTAAATAAGCTATGAAATAAGGACCTGCACTTTTCAATTGTTAATGAAATTGTGGAAAGATCTGTTAAACCTTCCTGAAGGTTTTCTATGCTTTTAATAGGCAAATCAGACTAGAATCTCAAAGGACACGAGTTGTATGAAGTCACTGATCTGTTTTCTGTTTCAGTTTAGTGAGTGCAGTAATGGAGTGTTTTAGATGCTAAGCTCTACTGATCTCTTATTTACTGCTCTCAGCACCATAATGACATCACAGTACTGAAGATACTGCTCCTCTCCAGTGTAGTGGTGTGCCAACAGATAAATACAAGAAAAGATTGCCATGATACCAGACCTCCTGAGAGAGAATTAACCTTCAATGATTGTGCCCAAGCTTTTTTTTTTTACTGCTGTGTATTTACTGTGGAGGCATTCATGAGCTGTTGTTTTTTTTTTTTTCATTTCCTCTTTGAACCCTATTTCAATGAAATGTGATTAAATATTACTTGGAAAGTGTTCTTATGGTGTTTTTTAATTTTTTTTAATTTGCATCTCTATTTGATGTTGGACAGCTTTCTGTAGTACTTAATAGGGCACAGACTTCCACTTTTCCTCATTATATTGGTATGCAATTATTTTACTAATGATTCAATTGAGAATGAAACTGCTCTCATGTTACTGGATATTATATGCAAGAGGGACTTTATTAATGGTACGTCTGAGGCAGTCGGGAGTTGATTGGAACACAAAGACGAGAATGCCAGTATAGTAAAAGCACACAGAGTTTTAATGCATGAAAAGAGTGGAGTTTCAGTAAACATTTGTTTGAGGTGGCACTAAATACATTCAGCTTGACTGCGGTTAGCAATCATGGTTCAACAATCTTTGAGACTCACAATAAGCAACGGCAGCGCAGCTGTTGAAAACAAATGAGGACTGTTTGTTCACCTGTTCAGTAAGACAGAGACTGTGTGCACCTTTTACAATACATTTTTTTTCCAGTGCAGTCTGGAACCAATGAATGAGGCTTTCCTAAATTAAAACAAGCGATGGCAGATGAATTGAAGAAACAAGACTAAATGCAAGCAATGTATTTACCATGCAGGCTCCTCTGTCCGAGTGAATTGATTAATTCCTCTGGATTTCTTTAGGAACAAAGTAAGGATTGTGAAGCAGGGGACTCCCAAAAGGATGAGCACAGGGTCTTTTTGGTAAGAATGCTACTTGGTCATTGTCTTCCTGGATCCACTGCTGAAGACCAACTGAACAGCCGGACACAAAGACTGCACTAAGCTGTCTCCAGAGGTTTAGGGCTAAAGTACATTCAGCAACATTATTAACTGATAGAGACCATTGTTGATAAAAGCACTTTATATGATCTTATTTGCAGAGTATTAAAAACAACAACTTTACAGTGGCAGCTCAGTTGATTAATCACTACCTAGATAGTGCTTCATGTAAGTCACCTCTTGAGTAACAAACTGGAATTTAAATGGCCCATCCTATCATATACACTTTCCTTGATTCAAAATCGAGTTGTGCTATTCGACTGCTTTCCAGCACATGTCTGATATCATGCAGCCAGGTATTGTGTCATTAAGCGTCTGATTGTAATGTCTGGCAAACTAGTAGACATGCTCAGTATCAGTCTTTCAAATCTATAATTTAGCTGTAACAAAAGAAAGCTTTTCTTAAGTAAATTATACTTGAATATGCTACTACAAATGTAAAGGCACAAAAAAAATGTTTTCATAGTGAAACAGACTAAACGTACAGTATATGTCGTGTTGAACTGTTTCAGCGCAGGAAGCTTTGGAACAGAAATATGTACACGTGCGGAGCAAGTCACTTCTGAACAGCGTACTAGGGTCAATATTTGGAGCACTATGTCATGTGATTTTCACCCTTGTCACAGGTGGTGAAGAATACAGACAAAACAAATCGCCACTTGCCTAACAGAACGACCTCACGATAGGAGATGTAGTGGGCTTGTTAATGAAACAGTGCCCCTTTAACTCGTATGGTTTGATCAAGGTAATTCCTCTGGCTTCCGCTAGGTGGCACTACAATCCTGCATGCTGGAGCGGACGCCACAGCAGGTACAGGGATACTGGACCTAAAAGTGTGTGCGCCAGTGGGGGTAATTATTCAGTTTTCTCTCTACTTGTTCCTTGCGTTTTCTTTCGAATATTTTACAAAAAACAATCTAAAACCTAACTGAATTAAAATGAAAAAACTAACAGTATATTTCCACATACATAAATATATATTTATCCTTCCAGCATCTTTTTTTTTAAATTATTCTCTATATGGTACACCTCTAATGTAGTGCAGGGTTAAGCAAAAAGGGAATGCTTTCATGCTGTGGAGAGAGAAACTCGTATCTTTTCAGACTGCAGCTCCTGGCTTTGAAGGAGGAGTGTCGTATTTGAAGTTACAGTTTTCAAATTCCTGTCATTCTATCTTGTGAAAATCAGAAAATATTACGACTTATCCTGCTCTATATCAGGAATGGCTTTTAAATATAAGAATAACACGCAGACTTTTAAACAAATTAGATGTAATATTCAAATGGAAGACAATGTATACATTATTAAATGTTTTCTAGAACAATACTGCATCTTCTAGATTAAGACCCACAATTCACTACCTTGTTTTGGCCAATCACCAACCAGCTTGTTCGAGAGTGTAGAAGAGAGCGAACAAATAAAAACAGCTAGGGAACCAATCAGATGCTGGACCACCATTTCTGATAGAAGCTTCTGGAGAACACTGACTTACTCTTTAACATATAAAAATACTATACCAAAATGAAATACAAATATATATTAGAATCTGTTAGGCATTTATGTATAAAGAGAGGGCTAAAAGAGTTAGGTTACATCAGGAAACAAAATTTAACATTAAACAATGCAAAAAAATAAAAATTCAAACATAAAAACAAATATTCTGCACCTTTGTTTTGTAATAAAAAAAAGCTCTACATACATATCCACTTGTAAAATCTTCCACACATGCAATAGTTTGCACAAGTAATACTGCAGGCATAAAAAGGAGGAGGAACTAGCACTCCACCTGTTCACACTGAAAGAGGAGGGGGTGTGGTTAACTGAATTCATGCTGTTGCTAGGTGATGCTTCCTTAATAATGTGGTCACCTAGCCAACCAGGCACCTATATCAAGATGGCAGAGAATCCAGTGAGGAGGATGCTGAGATGCCAGGGGCTTCTAAAGTCACTCTGACGGCCCCTTCACCTTAAAACAAGCTGAGTGACTGCTCAAACCACAGACCATCTTGTGTTTGTGTTTACTTAGAGGAACAGTGTTATACTAAAGCCATACGGCAGATAACACGGCTTGTGTTTATGCACATGCTAGGTGGTGCTGTTCGAGTGAATATAGTAATGACGGGAAAACTTTGTTCTTCTGACTTGCACTTTCATCAAGGGGCGCTGAGCACTGCCATTGCAGGAGATCCACTATAATACCTGAGTCAGGCTGCTTTTCGATCCTAAAACACTCTGAGAGGTACTTTTGACCAATCACATCAAACACTGGGAAAAAAAAGAGAAGAAATCGCGACATCAACCTGTAGGATATTAAAGAAACAAGTGTGCCAATGAGTAACTCTCGGATTGAAGGTTTTTGTCAAGACTGCAGACTGTCTTACCCCCGCAGTTCTTGAGGGAAGTAACTGTGTTAGTGGAGCAGGATGGGCAAGTCATAATTGTCCCAATCTGACAGCTGTGCTTAAGCCTTAAAGCAATTGGGAGACTGTTCACTTATGTTGGCTAACCACTGGGGCTTGTCAAAACCACGAGACCTGAAATCCCGATCGACGAAGCCAATCAGAACAGCTCTGCGCTTTCAGCTTTATCCTGTACTACTCCCGCGCTCTCTCACTTAGAGTGCACTTCTGTTTGTGCCTCTGTATTTTTGGATCTGGGACTCTGTATTTAGTTTTCTGTCCATATATTCTTTTTGTATGGGGGTGTGTTTCTTCCTCACAGTGTTAATGTATGTGAGTAGGTGCAATATCATGAATTTATATCGTAAAACAGCCAGGTTTGGTCAGGTCCAGGATAGCCAGGCACAACCATTGACCTTTCCGCAGACTGAACTCTTTCCTAAGCAGTGTGTGCAGCTTACACCACCGAAACACCACCAGTCTCTTAGGACAGGCTCCTGCGCTGTGCTGCCCAGCCCATGTACCCACTCTACCACTCTGCACTGCTAATGAGCGAAAGGCTGTGTCTTGAAGGGCTGCTTTCTGGAAGCATCAATGGGATAATCTCGAGGCTTTCTAAAGCCCAAATCATGGGCTGAAGGATTTAAGGTTAGACTGTGTTGACTTGTGGGAATGATCTTTCTGAATGCAACACTTAGGAACCTTTGAAAAATGTTGCAGGAACAATGTTTTTTTGTTGTTGTTGTTTTTTTTTTTCTTTTGTCAAACACCCTCAGAAGGGAAGTAATGTCCTATTTTACAAACATTGCTGTCCATAATATATATATTTATATATATATTTCTTTATACTCTCTCTCTCCTGGGTCTGTCTGAGGTCTGCTACATGCACCCCACACAGCCGCACTTGATGGTCTTCTCTACTTCCTCGGTGAAGGAGGTGCCGTCGCTGCACTCAAAGGTGTATTTCCTGCGCTTCATCCTCTGGCTGCTGCAGCACGCGCCGCTGTCGCAGGCCCCGCTGCACTCCACCCACGACACCATCCGCGTGGTCTGGCAGATCGCGTAGCCGCGCTGCACCTGGTAGAACTCCCTCACGGGCTCTCCCCGGCACTCCGACTCTGCGGCACAACACCAAACAAGCTTGGCCATCAGCCCGAACCGTGGCGCTCCTCGCTCTCCGCCGGTTATAAAGCCTTATTTTGGGGGTTCCAGCTCCTACCACCTCTCAGTAGCCGGTCCGAGTTTAACAGGGGGAAAAAGAACCAGGATTTTCGAGGTTTCATAGCATAGTGATATTAAAACAGTTTGACATGTCGCAGTTTGAATCATAGGTCACTGCGGCTAACAGGCTGAACAAGGAACGTAGCCTTTTCAGTTTGAACAGAAAAGATTATGAGGGGATCTGATCCAGGTATTCAAAATCCTCAAGGACACCGATAAAGACACCACAGTTCATTTCTTCAGAATGAACAGTGAAACATGAACCAGAGGACACAACTGGAAACTAGACACTTAGCACTTGAAACTATTAACAGTGGCTCTGTGGCTAAGGATCTGCACCTGTGGCTGGAAGGCTGCCGTATGAATGGCCGACCCTGTGCTCTGACCCCAAGCTTCTCTCCAAGTCTGTGTGTCTCATGAAGAGCAAGCTGGGGTATGCGAAAAGACAAATTCCTAATGCAAGAAATTGTACATGGCTAATAAAGTGATCTTATCTTCTTCACACGAAGGGTTGGAGAATGGAACAAGATGTACTATGTGATACGCAGGCTTTCTTTTCAAGTTGGATGAGATCCTTGGATCAATCATCTAACCATAGATATGCTGAAGAGCCTCCTCTCGTTTCTTCTGTCCCTATGTCCAAGCCTTCTTTAGTCAACTCGCGCCTTGGCAGTACTTGGCCAAGTACTTGGCACCCCTGCTGGAGGAATTCTGGTTCACTATACAGTTCTGGTCTCCTAAGCTCACCAGTGCCCCCTGCCCCTCCTCACCTGTATCGCACAGCTCTCCGCTGTATCCACTGTCACAGTGGCAGTAGGCCTCGCCCACATCAGAGATCTGGCAGCGACCGTGTTTGCACTGTAGCCTCTTGCAGGGATTAAAGAGCTCCCCCTGCTGGTTGCACAGGGCTCCGCGATACCCCTCCTGGCAATCGCAGCGATAGGAGTCCTTGTCCAAGGGCACACACTTCCCATGGACGCACCTACACGCAGACACACATAACACAACACAAGCGTCAGTGACACGGGACAGGAATGTGGGCCTTCTGGGCAGCAGAATTGATAGCGATTTGGGATTTCAGACTATGAACCTGAGGCTTACGGGTTCAAATCCCGTGCCTAAATGCCCTGCTGCATAAATTGGTCTGTAGATCAGCATTGTACTGTGAATGGGAGTTTGTTCTCAGGCAAAATTTACTAATTTCACATACTAATTTAAAAATTATTTTTTTTACATTATTTGTAAAACATAAATATTAGGGCTCCTAATATAATAATAATATTAATATATACCTCAGAGTGTGTTTAGACCTGTAATTTTTGTCATGAATTCACTTCCTAATACATTGTTAAACAGCTATAATGCTCAAGCATACACACATCTAACATGTAGGGATACATCTTTTAATTATTGTCTATCTGGTGTCAGCTACAGTTGCAGGAGTGACATGAATTAAGGCGACATTCTTCACATTGAGGAATCTGACTAGCAGCCGTGAACTGCATCAGACACAGAGTCCCCTAATGCTCCTAATGCAACCTGACATTTTGAACTTGAGCCCAGTGGACTGAAGACGTGAAAGTTCAAAGACATTAAAGCCGGGCAATGTGTGCAGCACGAGCCAGAATTTCATCCCCCGAACCCAGACCCTTGGAAAGCTGGTGCAATCCTGCGCAGCATTCGCTTTCAATACGTCTTTCATACAAATATTAATATATGGTATTTATTCATTTTAAGATTGAGTCTAAAATTCGACCACAACATTTCCTGTACTTGATCTGCATCACATCCAATAGATTCCGTACTCAATGAATGCCATTGAGGATATATGATCCTAAAGCGCTTGCTTTAGTTCTCTGTCTTTTCCCGACATTCTCCCTCCCCTCCAGCCCGTCTCCGGCTGCCGGTCCTCACTTGCTGCCCTGGCAGGGGTTGCTGGCTGGCTGATCACAGTGGGTCCCGCTCCAGCCCGGCTGGCAGTGGCACACGGGTCCCGTGGCCCCGTCCGGCTGGCAGATGCCGTGGAGGCAGTAGATCTTGCGGCAGGGCTCACAGCCCGGCACCACCCCCGGCTTCATCTGGGTCTTGGTGAAGTCCTGCAGCTCGTTGTTGATGTAGAGGTTCTGGATGCAGCCGTGGAAGCTGGAGCCGTTGTGGATCTGCCAGAGGCGCAAGGCGGCCGAGTTGACGTCCACGGGCATCCCTGCAGCACAGACAGAGGCCGTCGTGAGCAAGGAGAGGCTGTGGGCCGCCCCAGCACCCACACAGCAAACACAGCATGAGAGTGATGGCGCCGGAGGAGGAAGTGCATTCGAAAGAGCAGTGCGCCGCAGCCAAGCTGACATGTTGGTGAGGAAGACCCCCCTCTGTCTTCCCCAGGGGTCTGTTTGCAGGAACACACACCCACAGCCCGTCATATTGTTTGTGATCAATGTCTGACCTCGGTGTACAAGCCAGACAGCCACCTGCAGGACCTTACGGGATTATTTCACTGGCAGAAAAGAAAAGATCGGGACCTTTACAGTATATCCAAACATCTTTCTGTTATGACGGGTTTTATGTTAATAAAGACAACGATTCAAAAGTTCCCCGCCGTGAGCATCATGTGTGAAGGGTGTGGTTCATGTATTTGTTGGACATTAAGCTGAGCTCATAATAAAAAGTACTGGAGGAGGACAAGCTCCAGTCCTTGCCAATCGCCAGTGCTCTCGAGGAAAAATAAGGGGCTCATTTCCAAAACCAAAAAAGCTTAAAACCAAATGATCAATAAAGACCTTTCAACACAATTGGGCTTTGCCTGTGTCTTCTGACTTTTTTCAAAAACTGTGGAGCACTGCTTCTTTAAAATGTGAAAAGGATGAAAAAAGAAATAAGCAGGGAAATACTGGTAAAAAGGTTATTTGGACGTCATTCCAGAACAGAAGTGTGAATCAGACACTCACAAGCACCCTCATCTACAGTACCATTCAGACCAGTCTTGGATCCAAAAGCAGTGACACCAGAGCCTGACTTTCTTTGATGCAGTTGCAAAACTATTTGAGATCAAAGTCTGCCAATGTGATTGAGGTAAGCGCGGGTCTGATAGGGAACATTCATATTGTAGGGATTCATAGGTGCTGCAAGATTAGTTTTCATGCCTGCTTTGTTAATTGAACATGAAGGCCAGAGAGCGAAAAATTGAAAATGACCACATACTGTATTAATTAAGCTAATGCAGCATCTTCACCGAATAAATATGAAGAGCAGTTTTCATTAATGGCAAAACCTTCAGAAGCTGCTGAGGTTTGCAGTGCATATATATGTACAGTAATAAAAGGGTAAAATGATATTTCAGCTTTTTTTCCAAGTGTGCTTTGAAGTAAGCAATAACAGTTTTATCTGGTTTTTCATGTTCTGATTTATGCTGGTTTCTTAATGTACTGTACATCAAGCGTCGACAGTATGAGTAATTTTTTCTGACTTTAGATTAGACTTCCCTTTTTACCAAGGTGTAAGTCACACTAAGTCTATTTGAAATAGGGATTTTGGATCGAAATAAAGTTGGTTCGGGAAAACTTTTAACCATTCAATCTGTGGTATTAAGTGAGGTTATAGACATAACTCCCAAAAACCAGGTTTGGAAGAGATGCCCAATATTCCGTCAAACGAAATCAGGAATTTTACGGGGAATGGTAAAATAAACATTTCAGGCGCTGTTCCTCACTGGCTCTTGCGTCAAAGATTTGCTTGCAAGAATGCTCCTTCAAGATTCAGAAAATTAAAAATGACAGCTTAGACCAGTGAACTATAATGAGTTTACAAAAAAAAGACAGAAACGAACTGATAACTTCACACAAATTAGACTGTGTCTGTTAGGAGAGCTCAAACAGGATTGGGGACCCCTCAGTGATGGTCTGCCTTCTCCAGATCAATATAGACTTCAGCAGGAGCTGAAGAGCCCACAGTGCATCACTTCCTAAAAGGTTCATGCCTTAGTTAAGCTTTAGACGAGGTTGCTTCAAGCCTGACTTTCAGACCTGAGGGGATCTGCAAGCCCCTTGCAGGGCTGTGAGCAGGGCCTGCTGTGGGTGCTTTCCCACCCTAACAAACACAGTCTGGGGTCATGGCTGGTGGGGGACGGGGGTGCAGCGTGAACAGAGCGAGGGGGTGATTGACAGTAGTGTAATAAAGAGTGCCTGCGGTAGAGGGAGGTATCTGCAGAGGGCCCCTACCCCCCACATAAAGCGGAGCCTGTCCATTGAGGGGCTGCAGCTTCCCGAAACTGTCCATGGTCATGGGGACGCCTCCATCAATCGACAGGTTCACCATCTGGTCAAAGGTCACCAGCTCCACTGTGTGGAACTGGCCATCATTAATAGTCTCGGTGCTGTGGAAGGAGAAGGAGGGTAACTATTTTACGTTTTGCTCGTTAGCTAAACAACAGCAGTATTTCATAGTTTCACATGCTGTCAACTCTAAAGTGTCAGTCAAAGGTTAACAGAAGGTTAACTAAGAGAAAGGTTTGCTCTGCTGTAGAGTTGTTTTCTGACACACCACTTTTGTTGTGGAAATACTGGTATTTTATCCTTGGTTTTCCTGTACTAATGCAGTCGAGGACTGATGAAAGAACTGAAAGAAATCCTCATACTGGTTTGTGTTTATTAACCCATTGAGCTCGGCAGTTTACTCTATCAAGATGTTTGGTTTTAATTTAATTAAATCCAACATCTCATTTTCTGCTATTTTTTTTCTTTTATACTTATGTAGTGTCTGTAGAACTGAAATAAATTCTCTCTGTGGAACGGACAGAGTAATCTCTTATTTGAAGATATTTTATTAATTATTGGCAGATGTGACAATAATTTAAAAATGTGCCTGGTGGTTATCAGAAGCAGGCAGCTGCTGTGTGTTGAACTAACCTGTAGATGGCGTGGCTAGGCTGGCTGCCCGGGTCATAGCTAACCCTGACATGCCCCTGGTAGAGTTCCACAGCAATGTGGTCGTTGTCACCATTATACAGAAGGATCCCATTGTCCTCCGCAGTGGACACCTAGTGAAGAGACAGGGAGAGAACATAGCTTTAGAAGGAGAGCAACTCAGAACATGAGATGATGATAAGAAAAGAAGATAAGACTTGAATTCTCTCTGCCTCTGTGGCCTGCCCCAGTAATTTGATCTGTGCTTTGATAAATGCTTTAAAAAAGCATTCTTTAGTATTGGTGCAAGATTAACTTTTATCAAAACTTGTTCCAGCTACATCACTGTGGTGTGTTCACCAAACCCAACTAGACACAACTACTCAGCTCATCCAATACTGATTTCCTTTCACAGTTCAGGGACCTCAGTCAATTTGCCTCCAGATGAGACTGAAAGCATTACATTCCATCTGTTCTCAGAATTAATTTCCTTAAGCCCTGGATTTTGTTGCCTATATACAAAATGTCACATTAGGTAACATTAAATTCTTCCAACGTTGATACGTTTTGTGGTTCCTTTGAAAAAAACGTGTATTTATTAACCAAGATGTCATTATATGGAATCTGTTTTGACTAGTCCCAACAATAAATGCTAGGGAAATGTGACTGGAATTTTCTCTACTGGTGGGCTCAAGCATTTTACATTTTACATATTACCGCATTGAGCTCTGCAGTTTACACCATCAAGATGTGTGGTTTTAATTTATCAATCACCTCATTTCTGCAATTTATTTTTTCTGTTATACTTGCGTAGTGTCTGTAGAATTGTGCAAATACTGTAAGTGCTCATTACAGGAACGGCAACAAATGTTGCTGTAGAGTGTAACTTTGATTTCCTGTTCACTGCATACTATTTCATCCATATCTTTTTAATGCACTGTAGTGCCTCCATACCCTTTCATTCTCTGTTAAAATACTGACAAAATTACCTCCAAATTCTGAAGGAAGGCAAGGAGCCTGAGAACAGTGTGCGCTCTGGCAGCTGTCAGGTTTTCAGGTTACCTGCAGAGTGATGTTGGCCTGAGGCCAGTTCTTCAGGTCGCTGAGCTGCAGGTAGGAGTCTCTGTCCACGAAGTTGACGCTCACAAGCTTTTCACAGCGCAGGCCCCTGAAGCCTGGCAAGCACTGGCACAGTGCCCTGCCCCCACGTTCCACGCAGGGGGCGCCATTCTGGCACTCAGTCAGGTCACAGAGGGAGTGGGGCGCAGGGGGCACCTCACACAGCTGTCCACTGCAATGAGGAGGGGGGTGTCTCTCAGTCCAAGAAGCATCAATTAATCTGCAACTGCTCTGTTTCATAACACTTTATTGAGTTCTCATGAAAGTTCGGGAGGGATGAAGGCAGCCGAACTAATTAAGTCCAGCTGGCGCAACTCGCACCTAATCGCCTCAGATCCCCTATATACCACACGTCATCCTCTCCTCTTCCTCGCTCATTTTCACATCCCTCCTCCACCCCATGTCCACGTTTGCAGCTAACCCTTGGTCACCTTCATCAAGCATGGGGTCCTGGACTTCCCTATGGCCGGGAGGTTGGACTTTAGCAAAGCCGGTTAAGCCAAAGTTTTGACTAAATCTAATAAACGGTTCTGCTGTCACACAAACTTCGGCTGCTGTCATTCCTCGCAAAGTTTCTTTATTTAAAATTAACTGTACAGTTGTAAAGAATTCATTGATACGAAGATCTCCTTTTTCCAGAAGAGCTGTTTATTTTTGTGCTTGGGCAAATGCGTGCCATTTGGAAGTCAGGCATTACAGACGGGCACTGTGGATGCCCCGGTCCGAATGCGATGGGCTGTCGGTCGGGCAGCTCACCTGTAGCCCACAGGACACGCGCAGGAGTATCCGTTCGGCTCGTCCACACAGAGGGCGCCGTTCTGGCAGTGGTGCTGGGCGCAGTCGTCGTGGTCCACGCTGCAGTCGTCTCCCACAAAGCCAGGGGCGCAAGCACACCTGTCACACAGGGGCAAGCGCTGAGCAGGGCAGCGGATTGGGGCCGGGAAAGAGGCAGAGAGCACTGTCGCCATTCCCCATGGCTCTAGAGTTGGTAACGCCATAAGATTTATCCATGCAGGCAGTTTTACTAGTCTGATACTTCTTATTTCTGAAAGTACATGTATCTAAGAAAAGATCACTTTATTAGCCATATACAATTTCATTGTAGTAGGAATTTGTCTTTTCGCATACCCCAGATTCCTCTCCATGAGACACTGAAACACAGACAGGGAGAGAAGCTTGGGGTCTGAGCGCAAGGTCAGCCATTTATACGGCGCCCCTGGAGCAGCTGGGGTTAAGAGCCTTGTTCAGGGGACGAACGGTGTAGGATTCCTCTGCCGGCGGCGGGATACAAACCAGCAACCTTCCAGCCACAGGCACAGATCTTTAGCCACAGAGCAACTACTGTACATGACCACTACTGTGTATGTATTCTAGTGTGATAAAATAGCTACTAGTCACAGCACTCATGTGGCAGTTAACTGCAGGGACAGAAGGCTATAGCCAGTCAAGCGTGAAGGAGTGGTCAGGGCTCTGGACTGATAATGGGAAGGCTGTGGGCCTAAACCCTAAGTGAACACACTTTTGTTATACTCATTCACTCAGTTTGCTTCAGCAAAATGTCCTTTTGTCATGAAAGTAAATGACTTTAGATAGTTTGCACAAGCGATTGGATTATTTTTTCTCTGTGTTTTGAATGAGTCCCCCTGCTTGTCTTTAAGGAGGTTTCATTAACGTCTGGGTGGGTTAGAAACTTCAGAGTTTGAATCTGTTAGGAATACAAATAGAGCAAAATGTCTAAGTGTTTGTTTTGTTTTGAGGCTTTGTGCCTGATTTTGTTTCTGGTTGTGCAAACATAAGTATGCAAACTGCGGGAAAACACCGGTGAGGACTGCTGTGGCTTCTTCACACAGGGCCATGTTTGTTCACTTTGCCTAACAGGGTGTTTACCTGCTGAGCTGGGCCATCTTTCTTGTAAGAAAAGGTCCTGTGTTTTTATATATGGAGCCCAGCATAAAAACCAAAAGGAATGAATAATTATTAGCAGTTGCCACCACACAGCTCTTAAGTCCTGGGCTGAATTCTGGACTGAGGCCCCTTCTGCGTGGAGTTTGTTCCCACTGTGGGTTTTCTCAGGATGTTCAGATTCCCCCCGCTCTCCAAAATCATGATGGCAATGTTAACTGGGGTCTTTAAAGTGTTCCTTTGAGTGTGTATGTATTAGTACACTATGTGTGCATGCACGTGTATGTCTGTGGCTTGGATTTCAGGAGGTTTCATTAATAGTTAATGTTCGGAAGTAATTATGTCATTAATTATTTTGAAGAAAGAATTGTCAACTCATTATTTTACTTCAAGGCATATCTGTTAGTTTAGCAAAACTGTCTAAAACACACGTGTGGAGTCTCCACACTGTTAGATTTGGGAGCAAACACATTCCTTCAATTTGAGGACCTCTTGGGCACTCTCTGCAAAGCTCCAGGGGCCTCCAATGTAAGCTGAGAAAACATATTTCTCTGGAGATTCATCCTTCACAAATATTTTACAGTTCACATGGGGGTGTTCACTGATTCTGCACAGCCTGAGATTAAGTGGGAAACAGTGTGTCAGACCTGGTCAGTCACCTGCCCCATAATTTATCGCCTGCTACAGGCAAGTAGTATTTCTTCCATGCCGGTGGGGTATACTCACTTGGGCCCGCTGGCAGTGATGAGGCAGGTGGCCTGGTTCTGACAGGGGTTGCGGCCCGGGGAGCAGACATCCTCCATCTCCTCACACAGCTCTCCTGCACAGGATGGGGGAGAGAGAGAGAGATACAGTCAGCCGGGGCAGAGCAGGACCTGGTCTTGTACTGCGAGGATATTCAAGCTTCTCTTCAATCCCTCTCCCACAAGTCCAGTAGAGGTTTAAAAGGTGTCACATTTGTCTGTGCCTTCAAATTTCAGTGGAGCCTGTCTGTTTGAAGAATAAAACATATGGCCGGGTGGGCTTGTTCCTATGAAGTGAGATATGGGCAGTGCTTACCTGCACAGTGAGATATTTGTGCAGTGTCAGGGTGCAGGGTTTATGCAATGAAGTCGAGCATATGTGCAGGGAGTGTCAAGTTTTACGTAGCATCCACTGTGTACCTGTGTAGAAGGGAGGACACAGGCAGGTGTAATTATTGACTCCGTCCACGCAGGTGGCGCCATTCTCACAGTCGTTGTCCTCACAGTTGTCCCCGTTCACCTCACAGGTGGGTCCCTCAAAGCCCAGGGGGCAGAAGCAGCTGAGGGAGAGGGTGTGCGAGTTACCTTTGAGAACACAATCCATAGGGTGCCCTCAGCCCCCACCCCCCTCCCCAAAAAGAACAGAATGGAGAGTTTTGCCATGCTGCAATCAATGCTGCCACAATGGCCTCCAAACAGGGCAACTGAATGAACTAACACACACGTACGAGCACAACTACAAATGGCAGAGATCATCGATTGGCAGAAAATCCTTTTCTTGTTTCATAAATGTTTTCTTATATCATTCAAAGCGTTTGCACACAATGGAGGTTCTGTCCCGTCATGCTTTGTGAAATCTGAATTTGCGGGACACATGTTTTTCTCATTTCTCTCTCTGCACCTGTTCCGTCCCATACTCCCTGCACACTCTCACCTGAATTCCCCACTCTCCCCTGGCTGGATATGGCAGGTGGCTCCATTGGCGCAGGGGTTACTGACACAGGCGTTGAGAGCTGTCTCACAGTTCTTGCCCTGGAGCACAGTGGACACAGCAGATAATGAGCTGAGTTAAACTCTGTGAAACCTCTGCGATTGTCAGTGCTCTCTCCCTGTTGAAGGACTGCATTATGGTGAAGCATGCAATTCTTGGTGTGGATTTTACTTATTTCCAATAATCAAGGTACAGTAGTGTTGTTTGATAGTAAGAAACGAATAATTCACAGCACAACAATGTGCAAAGCAGCATTGAACACACACCCCCTGCCATGGAGAAACCAGTTTCCCTCTTGTGTGACTGAAGTCTCATATGACAGAGGCTGATGGGAGCTGGCAGTGCTCACCAGGCGCTGCTTACCTTGAATCCCTGGGCACAGGTGCACTTGTAGATGTCCACTGGGTCACTCTGACAGCTTCCCTGATTCTGACACGGGCTCGACAGGCAAGGGTTGCACTTGGCCAGAATTGCTGGGTCAACAGGACCTGGATTGTTAACAGAAATAAGAGACACATCCAGAGTGAATGGAAATACAACCGAGAACGGAGCCGGAAGGCTTATCACACATTTACCTGTCCAGCAGGTGCTGAACAAGATGATCTGACTTTTAATGAATCGTCACAGAAGATTGATTTCTTATATGCTACAGACACAGGAAGTACAGAATTTTCCCCACACAGGTGATCACAAAGCAAGAAGGAATCTGCATTCTGGAATTCTGATATTTAGAAATCTAGATGAAATACAATATAAAACTCACAAAACACAGAACAACACAGAACAGCTTCTCATGCTAAAGGAAAAAGGAGACTGTAGCAGTCTGGCTTATGGAGAGAGTGTAATATCAGTGGCCTTCCCACTAGAGGCCTTTCAGTATATGGCCTCTAGCACCTGTAAATAGTATAAGTGGGTTGTAATTAGGTAATTACAGTGGATTATTGGCAGTGGTTAGTTTACAGATTCTAACCTAGGGGTACTTATGGTGTGGTTAGTATAAATAGGGTTGCCAAGTATTGATAGTTGGGTTTCGGTAGAGACCTGGGGAGGCTGCTTGAGAATCCTTTTGCTGTAAGACCTTCAATTCAGCCTACTGCCAGTGAGTTTTCATGTGCTCAGCCAGCAGCTGCCTGCAGCTGACAGTTTTGCACACTAACAAAACATACTAGCAAAGCAAACTCCAGCCACTCTTCTTTCCAAAAGACAATTTTCTGCAAAGAAATGCAAACAACTGTGATTTAAGGAGACGTCCAGGCCAAAGCTAGATAGATTTCTTGGCTGCAGTTAGATGTGTGAACAAAAGACGTCATGCCTGAGGGCTGATGGTAACTTGGAAGTCTTCACTGACAAGCAGCCGCGGAGGGCTCCACAGAACGATCACAGCTGTCACACCCAAAGGCACAGGAGACTGCCGAAACATATGTAGTCAAGTACTGGCTCCACCCTGGGAGCATCTGTCCCAGACAGGCTCGGGAGTGAACCTAGGATGGAGCAGGATTGCGTATGTTCCATGTGCTGGTTGAAAAAGGATTTGCTGGCGTGCCAGGATTCCAGAAGAAGGGAAAAATCCCAGCCTTCATCCCCATCAAGACTAGAATCCAAAGTGCCTGAATTTTAAAGGGTACGTAGATAAAGGGTCGGGACATTTGTTAGAGGACATTATTCTAAACACAGCTGTTAGAATGCCAACGTTTAGCACTGTGGCTGAGTACTGGACCAAAGTAACATCAATGTAAGATGAAAATCCGCTACACGCTTAGAACGATCACTTCCCAATGTGTGCTGACCAGTCGAGAGAAAGTCTCATGGCTTGCGGCTTGTCATCCAGTGTGGGTTAATTGCCTCAGCGCCTTTTTTTATGCCCTTCCCAAAAGATTGGGAAGGATATCCCCTGCTCTAGGGGTACAGTACAGATTTAGCACAGGACATTGTTCTTCCATTTAAAGTGTCACTTGATACATGGAGGTTTTAAATATCAAACAAAGGAGTGATCAGTTGTAACTCCTGTTATGCTGTTTGTTATTAATTGTCCCTATGGACAATCTGCGTAAGGCGAGACTTCAAGAGAATACAGAGATAGAATGTATCAACTGAGGAGTTTAGTGAATACTAATAGATATTTAATCTAACATTTGGAAACACGAACACCTCAATGTTGCAATGTGGCGACTGAATGTTGTGTTCTTGCTCTTTTTTATGCTTTTGTTTAAAAAGATGAAGTCATTTAATAATTAGTCTTGGTTTTCTATTACTGGGATTATTGTCAGTTTAGGATGATTCAATTGTACATATGATTGTCTCCTTTTGATAATGAAAATTAATTCATGATGGATTTCTAGTGCTAATGCAAATCTCTCCAATCCCTTTATGGTTTTACGCTAGACTGAAAGCGATGATGGATTGTTAATTAGTAGTTGCATTTTTCTGTATTTGGCATCTGATCATTCACAGGCCCACGATCCCATCTGTGAATTTTCAAAACTGGTCCACAAATATTCTCCCTAGAGAGGATCTGCGTGAGTTTGAAACCACCCTGAGCAGTGACCATTGCCCTCATCTGTATGCAGTTCTGTCATTCCAAAGTATTTCAGTAGCCTTGAGATTACAGGTGGGAACAGCACAGGGCTGTCAAAACTTGTTATTTTTTTTCTTTTTGACATAAGTAGTTTAGAGTTAGTTTTTCTGTGCATATAGTGTTATAATTCTGGCAAAAAATACATTATATTTTTTGGTTAAAGAAGTTAAGTACATTTTTATAAGAATCAGACTTTATTTTCTGGTTATTGAGATTATTATTGAGATTGGCCACAAGATTCTAATGATCAATGCATGTGGATATGTGGTATAATTAAGTTCAACGTGAGCAAAACTGTGATTGCACCGGACGTCAGACTTAGGAATTCAATACAAGAAGTGTTTTAATGCACCAACAGAAGCAGTGTGATACAGTCACGTATCCCTTTCATCTTTTTCTTACTGAGAATCAGTTCTCTACCAATCATCCACCCATTTTCTAATTTTCTTATCCAGTAGGAGTTTATGGGAAGGCAAAGGGTCCAAGGCCGGATATGCGCCGGATGGGACACCAGTCCATCGGAGGGCACACACAGACACATACATAAACACACTCACACCAGGGCCAATGTTACCACAAGCCAATTAACCTACCAGTATGTCTTTGGACTGTGGGAGGAAACTGGAGCACCTGGACGAAACCCACACAAACAAGAGGGGAACATAGAAACTCCACTCAGATCGCACCTCAGATGTGGAGTTGAACCTGGGAACCCAGTGCTGTGAGGCAGCAATGCTAACCACTACACCACCATGCCAGCCTCTGGGCCACTACAGAGAAAATGAGCTCCCCTTTCGAAGGAGTTCAGCGGCTGACGTCTGCAGAGGTGGAATGTTCTCTCTTACCCTGGCACTCGAACTTCTTGGCTGGCGTGGTCAGCAGCAGCTTGCCCTCCATGGCCAGCGGGCCGGCACAGCGGGCGATGCCAGGTTCCTTATAGCCAGTCTTGACCCAGTCGGACAGCCAGCGCAGCCGGCAGTCACAGTACAGGGGATTGGCTCCAATCGCCCTGCATCACACACAGACTCCTTCTGTCAGTGTCCCACAGTCTGGAGAGAGCCTGGAGAGCTGTCTGAGAGGGCCCTGTGTTCTGCTTCAAAGCATTTCACACCACTTCTGGCTTGTATGCACAGTACTATCAGATGTCTCACAGCCTGTACAGCTACTCACACTAACACACACGTTAATCCTAGCAACTGCAATAATACTGCATGAGAAACAGCACTGTTCATAAAAATGTCTCCGTATTTAAACCCATCAGCTGAAATAAAAAAACATGAGCAAAATCCAGGATACACACTGTAAAATAACATATACAAAATGTCAAATGCATTGAACAGCCAGTAACCTCCTCACAAAATAAAGATAAAAAACTGTTGTCTAAAAATACATTTGATAAATGTGAGTTTGTTTTAGAATGACACGTTCTGTGTCACTCACAGTTTTGAGGATGCCACTCTACAGCTCTGGAGCAGCTGTGTGAACTTTCTTATTTGGGAAAATGCTTGTCTTGAAACATTGAATTATTACTACGGTATATACAGTATGTCATTTGAGTTGCTAAGTAATACACAGTCTAAGGTGACTCTTAAGTTCCAAGTGAGTTCTTTGAAGAGTAACCCTGCAATCATTGACATTTTCACATTTGGTTTTAAGAGGTGAAGGATAAAAAAATGTTTTGGAATCACTCCCTCCGAATTTTCACTACCGACTCCCAGTCTGTGGTATTGGACAGCTACCAGCAGGTGGAGCTCTGAACTTATTGTTCAACCACATGCACTCACATCCTGCATCTCAGGGGCCTGCCACAGAGAGATTCCTTCTTAAATTGTGTAATAAAGGAAACGTTGAAGTAATAATTTAATTCAAGAGCCATAGTTTAGATAACATGGTAAAAAATCTCAGTAAGACCTCAGTAGAGGTTATTAAATTCTCTATGTTCTGGTCCCCTAAAAATTGTGTAATCATATTTTCCCATATTATGAAAGCACACGATCATTTAAAAGCAATGAGAATGTTCCTTTAAGTCTAAATTCAATTAAATACTATCAATTAAAGTGATTTACTGTGTATTCCTTTATACCAAGCAAGTACAGAAGACATTGCTAGAACAATATTACGTACTAGATGGGATTTGAACCCATGGCCCACCAACCAAGTGCTTGGAACCATAACCAGTGCTGTCTACTGATACATTGCTGTCTGAAGCACAACCTTATAATAATAAGGTTATTATACAACAAATGTAGTAATGCCTCTCATGTATATAAAGAATAATTCTGCACAACGCAAGTAGTTATTGAATTTTGCATTTCAACCCTTTAGTCTCAACATACGACTTACAACAGAATTCCAGTGTCTGAAAATACAGATTGACAGCATTGCTGACTGGACTGTGCTCTGTAAGATATACCTCCATGCCCCCATTACCCTTTTGTATATTCCTGTCCTCATTTACCATCTTCACCCTTTACAGCCCTGCTCCTCTGAGTCAGTCCTCTTCCATTACTTAGAAGACTAGCTCATCTTTCACATGAATCCAATAAATGACATCTGCAGACATGAAAAACACTTTGATGGAAATCAATAGGTGGCACAGGTGCATGACCCTGCTCACCTCTCATTGACAGAGTGGAGCAGGCTGGGAGGGGGGTGGATTGGTATCGGCCATTGCTTCCGAGACAGGAGGCTCTTATTTTCCACCTGCAGCATTTCGCAGGCCACTCACCCTACTCCCTTTACCCACAACTCCCCTGCATGTCCTTGACAAGCAGACCTTGCCCACACATATCAGTCTGCTTGTCAGATCTCGGACTGTCAACACGGACTCCAGCACCGGCTCTCCTTCATTCCTCACACAAATTCCATTCTTTCCGTTCCTTATGGTCCATAGCACATATTTTGCAAAGGATCTAACAAGACACGAAGGGACAAATGTCCTAGCCTCTGTCTTCTGTAGAGTTGTTGCTGGGGTGAGGCACACTAAAAGACACACTTCTGACTTGAGGATTCTAACTATCCCAGTAAACCCCAATTAACTCTTCATCTTGCTCATCTATACAGGCGATACTGTATTTCATGTTTTGAGGTTGTGTTTCGCCACTCTTCTCCTAACCTAACAAGCTTTCAAATGATCAGCCCTCCACCAGGCTACAGGGACAGTTCTGGAACTGTGGATCATTCTGCTACCGACTACAAACTGATCGCCTGGAGAAGGTTAAGACCCAGCATGCAAAGGAGAGGCATTAACAACAGGAAGAAGAGGATGTGTAAGGCCTATCTGAAAAGACAACAGGTAGGGATGAGAAATGAGAGCGTGGAGTGGACAGCACGATCTCCGTGACTGACCGGCGCTGGGCCGAGGGACAGGCATCGCGTTGTTATGTCACTGGGGCTGGGAAGTTCACTTACAGGTGAGACAGAGAGGCCACGTCACTGAAGATCCCATCTGGCAGCTCGGAGATGTCGTTGCCATGGAGAGACCTAGCAGGCAAAGACAACACAAACGACAGAGTTTAATGCCATCAGCAGGTACATTCAGAAAGGCCGTGCGTTTTGTCATATAAAATGATCCCACAACTTTGCTGACACTGTGGACAGCCAGAGCTCGATATGAACTTAAATTGTTAATTAGCGACTTATATTTTCAGTGTTGCGATACCAAGAGCCCTGAAATATTTATATAAGCATCTCTGACACACAGATGATACATGAAACAGAAAACAGAGCAGTCAAGAACATCTGTATGTTAGATAATTATAAAATAGTTGCTGAGGAGAAAATATGAGAATGCCACCATTTTCAAGGATACTAATTTAACATGCAGAAGAAGCATCTTATGAATAAACAGGGACAGCACTGATGTGTGTATTCGAATTCAAGCCAATTCCTTTTCCTTTTTTTAAGAGTGTAACTACATACAGTAGTACTGAAGAACAAATGACCAGATCCCTTTGCCTTCTGTATTTGTGGCTGAGAAGAACGTTCAACCCAGAATGCCACATATTCACAAGTCACAATCGACGTGAGCAGGACTCAATGCAAACCCTTCAGGGACTGACTGTACTCAAGGTTGAGCTTAATGAGCTGTGCAATACAGTTTAGCCACAGTTGTTTATCACCGGCCAGACTATCTGGTGGGAATATTTGCTAAATCTGTTGTGCTCAGCTGTAACAGCAAGAACAACCCACACCCTCCCCGTCTCTCCAATACCAAGACTGCAAGAAACGCGATAGGCAAATGTCTACTGTGGAAATGAATCCTGCTGCGAATAGTTTCCCGCTTAGAAAGTCCATGAGAAATGCGGGATTTTTAAGGCCCCTCCAGTACACCTGTTGCTGGTTGCCTTGGTTGACTTGCCATTTTTGTTATTTGTTTTAGATTTAAAAGCCTTGGCACTGGGCTCCTGTGGAATTCTGCAAAGCTGGTATTAGGTTACTAATCTGGAGCTCAACAACCTGGGTCTTTCTCCCCAGCCAGTCGCCCTCTCTAGCTATTAAGAGAGCAGGGATCTAATTAGGAAAGCCTGCTGGAGGTATTCTCTGTCGACAGTGCCCTTGTCATTTCCTTCCTTATCTCTCAACAGGGTGATTAGGTGACGAGGTTGGGGGAGGAGGGGGGTGCTTAATGCATGTAAGAAAATACAGACATCTTAACCTGACAGGTCGTCACTACGCATTTTAAAAGGCCCAGTTGCTACCCTCCAGTGAAGACAGATGGGTACCCAGACATGCTGGCCAGCTGAGGAACCCCAGCTCTCTGGGTGCTTTGATGAGACAGAGGCAGGAGCCCCAGCAGTGGAACACTAGGCCTGCTCACACAGGGCCGCTGTCCTTAGCCCTCCACAGAACCTTCGGCAGCCCTGTCTTCGTACAGGCCTGACAGACTCCATTGGCAGTCCCAGAGTACTTACACACACAACGCTATTTACTCAAAAGACCAATTAGCAGCATATTATTACAAAAAAAAACACATCCATTCAAGACACAAATCTTGAATCTGCTGGGGCCTTTTCAGTGCATTTCATTTTATTTGCACTTCAAAAGGTTTCTCTTTCTAAGTGTAAGATTTATGAAGGATTTTACACCCAAGTGTGGATTTCATGAGAGGAAGCACAGGTCTTTAAATGTTTAAAACCTTTTCAGGACTTTGAACTTAGACACTTTACAGTTCTAAAGTTAGCCATTAACTAGGCTTGATGCTGGGTTGTTTTAGATGAAATGTGTTTTGGGGAATAACCTTGACAGATCAGTCTAAATAATATCAAGTTCTTTCGAACTCTGCTGAGGTAACATTTAATGATAATGGAGACAATGCGATGTGTTGCACCACCAGGCCTGTATTGCATTCTAAGCATGACATTCTTCAATCCTAAGGCAGACAGACTTCTGGACTGCCAAGTAACAATTGAATTTAGCTGCAGTGCTAGTAAGTGATAGTAGCTACAGCAATAAGTAGAATTATTAATGCAATTGTATATATTCTTCTTCTCTGTATAAGCATCTGCTTATTGCTGGTTCTATGCACCAGGCCTAACAAAGGGCAAGCTATTGGATATGGACGTGTTTGTGTTAGCTTCATGATGAGACTGGTGTTTTGCTCCTACTTTTTCTGCCCGCTAATCAAAATATGAAGAACCTTAGAACAAATTAATGGATTCTCTCAACGGAAAGTAAGTCATGGCTGGCTTGAGGATCCTGAGAGACTTCCATCACTTCCCTGGCTCAGCTGCTCCCAGATCTTAGTCCCATTGAAAACTATGGAACATGCACTTCAATCCCACAGATCCTTAGACCTTCATCTCAAGCAAACCTGCTACGATGGAGTGGAAAACAGGACAAGTCCTGCCCAAGCTGGTTTGCACTGGGCTGTTACGGTATTCAGTGGGGGGTTCTTAATCTTTGGCCAGTGGGTGTATTACAGTATCTCTTTGTCTCCCTTGCTCATTTTAAAACAAGGTTCTGGATATTCAGGTCATTATGTCCAGATATGAAGAGTCCCATCTGTTACATTGTCTGCAGTTCACTTGTCAGTGTGTAACAGATGGCAGTTCGTTTTCAGTACAGATTGTGGAAAACGAGGAGTTTCCAAAATTTAATTTTGGAACGCTTCGAATTCCCCTTTCATAAAATTACGAAGAAGCCATACATGAATGTGGTGGACTCATGAATGTGACTGACAGCCTGAGCTCCTTTCACTTTTCCATATTACTGTATTTATCATAGTCTGTTTTTAAGCACATTTTGTATTCATTTTTTTTAACAACACTTACTTACTTTAGTTTTTATACAACTACAGAATTAGTTATTTCCTTGACTGGACTGTTACAGAAAAGTGGTGTGATGGTTAGTACTGTTGCCCTGCAGTGCTTGGCTTAAAATGGGGTACCTTCTGTGTGGACTTTGCATGTTCACACCCGATCCAGATGGCTTTTCTGTGGGTGCTCCACTTTCTGCCCACAGTCCAAAGAAATGCTGTCTAGGTTAAGTGGCATCTCTAAATTGTCTGTGAGCATGCATACTGTATGTCCTGTGAAGCACAGGCATCCTGCCTAGGGCATTGGCCCTCCCTTTTGCTCTCTGCATTCAAGGCTGACCAGGAATAAGTGGCTTTCTGATAACACATGGATGACTGAATCGGTATACAGTAAACTGTATATCGTATCAGTGCTTGAAAGCTGTTTTCATGAGAGTGGATTGACCATCCCAGGAGAAGAGCAAGTGAGTGAACTGTGACAGTGTTTTTTTTTGTGGGTGGAAGACCAGAGACTAGTGTTGCACTGAAGCAGAAGGATTATCGCTATAAGGTTCCAGTGCTGTATTAATGGAGCAGTTTTAGTGTCTCCTGATTTTTTCCATCTCCTGCACTAACCTGAAGTTTTGGTTCAGCCTGTTAACATTTTTTAAAAACCTACATGCATGATTATTTTTTTATATTTTCTTCTGATAATGTTTAGACATTAGTGTTTTGGATAAAAATAAGAATTTGTCCATGATCGGTGGATATTGTACTATACTTGAAGAACACTCATGCCAGTGATAATAACTTCATATTCTGCACATTCTACACCGCTTGCATGTGAATATATTAGATGTAAACTACAATTAAACTGTTAAAAAACAAAATGATGTTAAGTTTCCGCTGCCCAAATGGAAAATGCTGTTCCAAAACAAATAAATTAATGGAAAAGTTACAATTTTGTGTTACTCCTGCTGGGGTACCTGGGTACTAATTACACATAAACCAGCTGACAGTTATAAAGAGTACAGTATGTTTACTTACTATTTTGGTGTTAACTCACTTGGCTGAGGAAATACAGGCAGGGTTGTGGGCTGCTAGCAAATATTTATGAAGTGTGAGATTAGTATTTCCCTCCTCCTGAATATCTGTTAAATAGCATCATTTTGAGTATTTGCATACATTGCACAGAACAACTTCTGACCAATGTCTCTAAATCATCAACAGCTTAAGGAGTGAAAATGGAATACAAGGCTCTGATTAAACCTTTCTATAGCAATAAACCATCCTACTAAGTGTGCAACCTAGACAGAGGCAGCCTGATGGACCCTAAAGACCAGATCTGGCAACATGTGGCTTCTTGGATCAAAAGGCAATTGAAAACTCTGGATAACTAAATTTGGAAAATCACTTCATCCATGTTCATTGCTTAGTCCGATGCAGAGTCACAGTGATCCGGTGCCTAACCAAGGGGACACAGGATGGAATATCAGTCCTTTGCAGGGCAGTCTCAGACAGTGAACGATTCTTGAAACATCAGCATGCCATGGGACTGTGTGAGAAAACTGGAGTGCTTGGAGAAAACCCAAACATGGCTCCACACAGAAGGCATCCCAGAACTGAATCACACAACATAGAGCTGGGGGGGTTAATGCATATGTGCTACGTGTCATGCAAAATTGCCATCCTTGGTAAACCCCAGGCACCTGTAGAAAGTAAACAAGTTCATACCTAGAAATAAAATCTGAAATATGGGGGCTTGCATTCGTTATTCCATTACTGACATAACAAGTGTAATGCCATTTAATGCTGTTTTCCCTTGACAGACCTACTGTAAGACCTATGACCAATTGTGTTTGTGTCATTTGTCTCATCTTGCATAATTATGATCTCTTTCTCATTTAAATATGACCGGTTAAGTTGTTGCCCTTATCGGCCTACAACACATCCAGTCGTTCCAGTTTCCTATTGCTCAGAAAGACAGCTTTGAACAGGTGTACTTCTCCATTGCAGGTGTTAGCCTCTCCCTATGGGTTATTCCCATTCAATAAAGGGCTATCAGGCTGGAGTGCCCTGTCAGCATTTGGGACTTGAACATACTCTTTTCTGGTCATGCTATTCACTGATCTTCTGATGAACTTAATATAAGTGTAGCAAAAAAATATTTAAAAAAGTGTGAAAACCCTTGCTCGTACAGTATGAGGATGAAAAGGGAGTTTGGTCTTACAGCAGCCGCAGTGAACGCAGTCCCCCGAAGGCCAGGCTTGGGATACAGCGAAGGGAGTTATAGCTGAGGATTCTGCATAAAAAAGAGAACAGATAAACACGCTAAGCCAACGCTACACACTCACGACTCCACTCTCTATCACCTGCTGGCAACGGCCTTCATTTTCACTCAGCAAGAAGCTGGGCTGAGCTTTTGTAAAACAACAAAACGCTCCATCAAGTCATAACACCTCATGAATCTAAGCCTGACTCTTTCTTGATTTGAAGAGAAGAAAAATGTCTTGACTGATTCTGTCTTCAACAGCTTGCTAGCTTCTTTTTTAGTTTACTGGTCACAGAATGTTTTCAATGTCTAATACTCTTATGATGTTCCAAGCTGCTTGCACAACCAGGCAGTTGACTGACCTGTTGACTCTATCAGCCGAAATGTAAGCACAAATTTATTTACACCTTAATGATGTACAAGAAACAACTAACAAAATGAACCATCTCAGGAACTTTGTCAATCACTGAAATCCCACTTACAATGTTGTGAGCTGGCTCATGTTAGCGAACGAGGAGTTCGTCAGGGAGCTGATTTTGTTGTTGCTCAGATCCCTGAAAGGAAACAGGTGAAGCTCTGTCAATACTTGTTACCTAAAGTGCCAAAGCAGAGAAACAGTGCGTGCCAGCTGAAACTGCCTTTGAGGTGTCCGACACTCACACAAGCTGGAGGTATTTGAATGTGGACAATTCTCTGGGCACCATGCTGAACTGGTTTCCATCCAAGTACCTGCACAGAAAAACAAACAGCTGGATTTAATCTGGGAGCGCAAGTGTGTGATCCTTTACATTAACTCCTACATATAGTTATCGTGCCATTATTGTATAGATGAAACAGATTAGCAGAGTAAGTGCAGATGCTGGCAATTATAATAATATCAATTGTACATCTGCAGCTGCTGTCTCAACCTTGTGCATCATGCGGGGCCGCATGGCCATACAGACGGTTGAACAGGAATGGGAGACATTGTAAGAGCCAAGGTGCTTATTAAAGCGATGTGTGTCCCTGGCCCTTCTGGAATGCAGGAGTAGACACAGTGGTTAGTCCTACACAGTGAGACCAAGAATGGAGTTTCTGTTGCCTCAAAGGCACTGGCCTTCTGTACTGAAGGAATTGTGTCAAAGACTTCAAAGCCAAAAAGCTACTTCAACAAACAGCATGGTAGCAAGCTTCTTCAGCAAAGCAGAATCCTAGGAGTGTGATAGGTAAAGCAAGCTTGTACCCTCCTGTGCATCTTTTACAAGACAGAAAGATGGTCAGTCTGTGCTGAATGGCATTTTGCATGCCTTTAAACTACATCCTGCAAGCCAAGGCTTTAATGAACTACTCTGCATTTTGGAAAGCTAACCCCTCTCAATATTTCAGGATGGTTACTTTTGCCACCAGCTTACCCGATTAAAAGAAATGTCCACCTCACTGTGCCCACCAGTCAAACTTACTGTATCCCACCGCTGCGGACAGGTCACAGTGTACGTTCGATTCTCGGCCACAACACCACTGCTAAATTCCTTGGCTATGCCTTTTAAATTGTTGGAAATACTCAGTGCAAGAAACTGAGAACAATTCATACTTTTCTCTTACGTTTTCGCTCAAAGAGGAAAGAGGGTGTGAAACCTCATCTGCTGGACTTCACTCCCTCCTGCTTTGTCAGCCTTTGACACACAGGGATGCAAGGCTCAGACAAAGACAAGTTTCCTCTCCCAGTCACCTCTGTGCTCCTGCTCTCACCAAGGGGAGCTGCCAGCGAAGCTGCGAAGGGTCAGACTTCAAACACAGTGAGCTTTATGACTGCCCTGTGAAAAGTCTTGTGGTCTCCCCTTAATTCATCTTGGTCACCTAGACAACTACCAGTGAAATAGCTGTGGCTCCCCACACTGGCAGTCAAACAGCAGGGGTACTTTGTTGCTCAGTAGATGAATGTTTACTGTGGCCGGAGTGGGAACAGGCCTGTGGGTAGCGTGTTTCTCTGCTCGCTCTACTGTGACACACCCCCTCGTGAGGGTGAATGTCACAGCAGTGGCTCCTCTTCCCCACTGGCAGCTCATCCTCCTTATTCATTCACATGTCCCTGAAAGGGGCCAGTGGTCTCACACACAGCAGGATATGGCTGTGAATGAGTGAGTCACAGGAGCTCTCAGACAGAATCCTGGGAATTTGATAGGTGAAGTAAGCTTGTGCCCTCCTGTGCATCTAAAGACAGCACACTCAGGCCCATAGCTAATTATTGCAAACAGCCTCAGGGTCCTGGGCACAGAATTATGTGGCTAATGACAGTGTTTCATTTCTATGGCGGATGCAGACTGCAGAGATGAAAGTGTAAAGTGGGGCAGCACACCTGGCCGAGATCACCGCCACCCATCTTAGGCTCCTGAGCTCCTTAATGACAGCCCAGCCCACAGACAGTGAGGGGATTGACAGAGGTGTGGGGGCGTGAGACACAGCAGGAAGGACAAGCCTTGGGGATGAGTCAATAACCACAATCCTGACAGGAGCAGGAAAGAAAGTTGGAGGCGGTGACAGCCTGTTTGTGAAGACCCTGGTATTAAAACATACTTTCGCCAGAAGGTGTGCATTTAGTTAAGCAACCTCCAGCTTCAAAGTGTGAGTTCACTGCCACAGTCCCAGGACCTGAGGGACCCTTTTTTGGGACGTGCCTTGTGATTAAACATACTTCTGACCCTCTGTTGTTCTTCTGTGGTCTTGTTTTTCTCAGATAATTCCTAGGATAATATCCCTAGAAACTGATTAATACAAGTATGAAAAGTAAAAGAAGAAATACTGTAGAAGGAAACAATTCCATTTTTGCTTCTAAAATTCCACAGAAGCCATTGGCACAATGTCAGTGCCATCTGAAGTCAGTGACTCTAAACTACAGAGCTCTGTTGTAGGATGATAAGCAGCAGGTCACCACATGTACAATAGTGGAGGAGTTCACTCTTCCCAGACACCGGTTTGGTGAACCACACAGTGTGCACCACACAACAAGGCCTGTTTTGTGCATATGTGTTGCGTTTTCCGTTTGATGGAGTACCGAATACTTATTGAGCCAGGAAGGATCGTTTGAAAATGGGAGAATTCTCTATAGGTGGCTTTGGAAAGTGTTGGAAGACAACAGTTCTTCGTGCCGTGATGCCACGAGATCCCCCTGCCCACACTCACAGCTCGGTGACGTTCCTGGGGATGCCCTTGGGCAGAGACCGCAGGTGCTTGTTGCTGCAGCGCACCACCGTCTCCAGGCAGGTACACTCACTGGGGCACTGTGGGCGGGGCACACAGCTGGCATCCTCCTGGCCTGCAACACCCAGGGACATTCTCATCAAAGACAGACACTGCCAGTAACAGATGCATGCGTTGCAAGACACTGGATTACGGCTGAATTCCTGTTTTCATTTCTGCACCGTTGCCCTTCTCCATCCCTGCCTCCATTTTAACAGGTGGACACCCTATGGAAAAACGTCAAACTAGGGCCAACGGCGTTTCCGTTTCACATGTTGGAATTCATATTCTGCGGTTTTGAAAGATTTATAAAACAGGTTGAAGAAGGACCAGAGGACGCATAAAGGCTTCAGTTTTGATCTGGCCTGCAATGCGTCAGTGAAGGTCGTTTCTGAAGTGATCATACAGAAAAGGTCAATAAAGAACTTGAGAGTACTATTGTCTCACTCTGGTGACACTCAGCAGTTCCCCACAAGGAATCATTTACAATTCTTCAAAACTGCAGAACATACTATACTGCAAAGATGGACCTGAGATAGAGAAACATGCAGAAACATTTTTTCCTATGGAATAGATTCCTAGACTGAGTAGGAGCATGAAGTCATTGTACCAGAGCCCTGCAACATGGAACAACTTTGCTTTTTTGTTATGCCGAACTCCAGGCGTTTCAACTCGTAAGGGGGAAAATCTCTACAATCCTCTTTAAGATGGAAAACGTCTGCTCTCTTTCTCACTCCCATTGGCCAGGACCTGAAGATCCCCAGATCGGCTCTTACCCTCCTCGCAGCGGAAGTCAGGCAGGGCCACGTCCTGCAGGGGGATTTCCTTGAGGAATGCGGGCCGCTGGCACCGGGGGTTGCCCGTCACTATCTTGCGGCTCCTGAGCCACTCCCCGAGCCAGGCCAGCCGGCAGTCGCAATTGAAGGAGTTTGCCAGCAGATTCCTGAGAGTAACAGGGAAAGGAAGGAACTGAGTGAGCAAAAAGGCTAGCATGTGGACTGGAATAGCTGGGTGAGGTTGTGGTGTGTCAAAGTCTTACAAATACAAGAGAGGAAGCACCTGAGGTACCTGATCAATACAATAGTTACTCTGTGCTTTGAAAGGCAGATTCAATTCGATTTGCCATGAAATTTGACCATAGAGGAGTAGTTTTTCTCCCGTCTAATCACGAGTTAGTTGGCTTTATCCCTGGTTGTGTCTGAAATATAGAACAGTGTGGGTATTCTGCAGACACTTAGCTAATCAAAACCAGGGTATTTACAGGGCTGTCCAAGAGTTAATCAGGTCATAAGGTCAGGTCAACAGGTTAGCAAACCAAGAAAAGGAATGTTTTTGCAAAGTGGCTCAGTCATCGTAAGAAAGCAAATATGCTGAAAGAAAGATGTGATTTCAAAACCATTAAGAAGACATTAAAAATATAGAGATATGTAAACTGAGAAGTGCTTGACATTTCCTTGTGTGTACTTATGGTACAAAGTGAAAGAAGCAGTTGTCAGCAGTTGAATATTCTTTTTCTAGTTTACACCATGTATGTTGGGAGGGAGAAATACCATTCTGAGCATGTGAAATCAGTTTTCACCAGTCAAGGCACAGATTCCTTGCTTATGAGTCTCTATTAGGGTGAAAAAACGCAAAGCAGAATTAAAAGTCTCTTGAGAGAGTTCTGCTTTATAATGTTGTGAAATAGTTACAGCTGATTAATACTCATATCCTACACTTTCTATTCTACATTTGATTTGAGTTTCAGTTTATTTCTATACACATTTATCTGTGTAGTGGTACATATTCATCTCTCACAGGTGGACACAGTGTTTCAGGAGTGTATATTAGGACTGTAATGTTATTTCGGTCTTGCCACGCTGCTGCTTACAGTGTGGAGAGTGACTGTAGGGTGTCAAAGGCCCCAGGAGAGATGGTTGTCAGCTGGTTGTCATACAGAGACAGCAGACGCACATTAGACAGTCCTGTGAAGCTGTTGTTGTGGATGCAGCTGATGCGATTGTTCCGGAGCATCCTGCAAGACAGACAGAGAGAGAGGGGAGGGAGTGATGGGGCTGTATCATAGCCGACGACAGGCATGTGGGATTAGTATGATGCAGAGCCTGCAAAGTAAGGGACAGTACATAGCAGGGTCACATCACATAGAGAGTAAAACCTCCCCTGTGGGTTCTGTGGGGGAGCTGGAGCATGGTCTGGGGAGAACTCTGCAGCAGTGAACAGTGATCCACTGAAAGAAATGTAGCAAAGAGCAGGCCTCTGAGAGAGCAGCTCACGCAGGTCTCCTGGCCACATCCCAGCAGCTGTCCAGGTGGTTTAAGGGCTGCAGGTCCTCCACTATCTTTTACAATGCATGGAATAGTTTAAACTAAAAATAGTTACTCACAGCATCCGCAGTCCTTCCATTCCCCGGAACATTCCGCTCCGGACAGAGTCCAGCTGATTGGCGGTCAGGTGCAGCTCATTGACAGAGGAGGCCCCTTCAAATGCCCCATCCTCAATCTCGGAGATCTTGTTGTTGCTCAGGTTACTGCAGAAGCAGAGACAGGGGCACAGATGAGCAGCAGCACAGCAAGCAGGCGAGGACTGATGAAGACAGGACCCTGTACTTGGAACAAACTTGCTACAGTGCAACAACGATGTCACAGCTGTAGTTCTGCCAAAGCAACATCACTGTAGATATTCTGGAACCCTGGTTGACTTCATTAACCCTGCTCTGTCTAAGTGCCATTTGTCTTAACATTGGAGTCTTACAAAAATGGTGTGTTACTCAGTAGCTGGTTATGCAGGCTCTAACATTATAAAACACTGCTCGTTAAGGTATGTTTGTAGCTTGTACCCTGCATGTAGTCAAAAACTAGTCCCTGTAGTCAGGTAACAACAGCTCTGGAGTCTGTAAGCCTGTACTAAAATGTCTGCTGCCTTGGCAGAGAGACAACGGGGACAATATAAAGGTAAACTAATGCTTACATTTTCTTGAGCTGGGTTAGGGTTTTAAAGACACCAGTGGCTTCCAGGATTGAGAGTTCATTGTTGTTCAGGCGCCTGCAAAAACACAAGAAATTAAGTCCTATAACCAAACTGCCCTTATCTAGTACATGCTACTACACAATGTCCAAAGAAAGGCCATATAGTGTAACTTATCACTATGAAATCTGTGCAATATTATGCTTTGAAATCAAATCAAATCAAATCAAAGTTTATTTATCAAATGCACAACAATACAGCGTGCAGCAGTAGTTGCTGGCAATGAAATGTCTTTTCTGCGAGCTCACAAAAATCACAAGAATCACAGAAATCACAAGAATCACAAAAACACAAAAATCACAAAATTGAGGTTATGAAAATAAGGTTACATAATAATAGATGTAATAGAAATGGAATAAAACTCAATATGAGTAGAGCTGCTATGTGTCCATGGTGTATGCAATACATACAAGTAGTGTGGTTATGCTGAATACATGTGAAAACTGTGTGTCCATGTAGCCATTACAGGTGATTTGCTAAAGGAGCTGCAGGTTGAGAGGTACACTGTAAGATTCCTGATGATCCAGAATCCGATAAACAACAGATTTAAAGGAATGATCTAAATAATGTCGCCATCCTTTTATTAACTTGCTTCTGTGTATGGTATAGTTGTCCCTAAATAAACCTTGCCATGAAAGTTTAATGGCTCATAAAAATTAATTTTATGCCTCTTTTGTACCCAAAAGGTTCAATAATATTAACATTTTTTAGCAAACAATTACACAAAAAAAGCCTAGAGGCTTTGATATCATAAAAGTGTGGGTTTTGTTTCATTCTCCAGTGTTCACTGTAAAGGCAGGCGATGGTGCACCAAGCCGTGTGTTGCAGTGTGTGTGCTGCCGACGGCGGGTGTGCTCACAGTTCTGTGGTGGAGGGCGGAATGTGCTCAGGAATCTTGGTAAGACGCAGGTTGGAGCAGTCCACCACGCTGGACTCGCAGCGGCACTTGGGTGGGCACACAGGGTCACTGTTGCACTCATTATTAAGACGTGTATCCTCAGTGCCTGGAAAGGTCCCAAAAAAGTGTCAAGATGACACTCAGCAAGGAGGAAACATGAGCAAATCTTTCCCCCCAAGAATTAATTTCGCCAATACTCACAACAGGTCTGAGTTGTGTGAGTATGGATCAAGCTACACAGCCATGTTGTTGAAGGCGATATCCTGCCTTCTTTCAAAAAACAGTATGAGACCCTTGGATCAATGAACTAATGACTGCTAAATGGGCTAGATGGGTTGAATGGTCTCCTCTCGTCTGTACACGGTCTAATATCAGCAACCATATCACTATGCAACTCGCAACTGGCAACCCACTGAAGCTCTCCAGGTGTGAGCCTGGTCAGTACCTGGATGGGAGACCTCCAGGGAAAAACTAAGGTTGCTAGTGGAAGAGGTGTTAGTGGGGCCAGCAGGGGGTGCTCACCCTGTGGTCTGTGTGGGTCCTAATGCCCCAGTATAGTGACGGGGACACTATACTATAAAAAGGTGCCGTCCTTCAGATGAGACGTAAAACCAAGGTCCTGACTCTATGTGGTCATTCAAAATCCCAGGGCATTTCTTATGAACTAGGGGTATAACCCTGGTATCCTGGCCAAATTTCCCATTGGCCCTTGCCAATCATGGCCTCCTAATAATCCCCATCTATGAACTGGCTTCATCAATCTGTTCTCCTCCCCACTGATAGCTGATGTGTGGTGAGTGTACTGGTGCATCACATCATGTTTCATCACCCAGGTGGGGCTGCACACTGGTGGTGGTGGAGGGGATCCCCATTACCTGTAACATGCTTTGAGTGGAGTGTCCACAAAAGCGCTACAGTATATAACTGTAAGGAATTCTTCTTATTATTATATTCTTTGTTTCCATAAACTTTTAGCAAAATCTGTTCTGGGTTGCAAGCTCGCCAGCTTTCAGGACTTTTCATTTAAAAATATTGCAATATTTGAAATTACTTAGCTACTAAAAGACACCAGTCTAGCTTTAGATGTCACTTCTGCTCCAGTCCTCATGAGTGCCAGTGACAGTATAGAGCCGGACTTGTGGCTTAACATGCAGTAGTAACACAGCACACAAAAATAACAGACCCACCCTTAGATGAGGCAGCTAACACAATGAAAGCCCTTTATACACCCAGACATCACTAATTGCACTCATTTGAGAAGGGGGATTTCAATCACTGGTAATATAATAGATTAATCATTTGACACTCCTTGAGCCTATTTACAAGGTATAGAGACCCATTAAGGGTGGAGTGGTGGCTCTGTGGTCAGCCAGTGACTGGAAGGTTGCCTGTTCAAATCTTAAGGCTGGTGGAGGAATCCTACTTCGTTGGGCCCCTGAGCAAAGCCCTTAAACCCAACTGCTCTAGGGGTACCATATAAATGGCTGTCCCTGTGCTCTGACCCCAAGCTTCTCTCTTCCCGACTGTGTGTGCCTGTGTGTCTCTTGGAGAGCAAGCTGGGGTATGTGAAAAGACAAATTCCTAATGCATGAAATTGTACAGGGCTACTAAAGTGATCTGATCTTCTTTGCAGCTTTGAGTGGCAGGTCGTCTGTCCACACCAAGACTACGCACCTCCATAGCCCTGAATTATTCTGCTTTTGCAAAGGGGGGGCTGTACAATTCACAACACCGTATAGCACCAAAGAGCCTGAAGAGCAGTTTGCATGGAGACCACCTCCAAGCCCTTGGCAAAGTTAGTTATATTAAGAACACGCAGGGACAGCAGATGGCAAAGAGACAGTGGGGGAAACACTCTTTCACTGTACACGGAGTCATCTTTGAGACAAAGCTCTGATGAGCAAGATCCAGGCAGAACTCTGATGTTATGACTATATTTAGATTTTTGAATGCCTATTGTATTTCATTTCCTACCCCATTTCCATATCACTTTGTGTTGCATCACAGTTGCTTCACTTCTATCTGCAGTATTGTTATTTACTGGGATATTTTCTAATGAGTAAGCATTGCCCATCCACTCTTTCATCCATTCTCAAACTGCTTCATCCAATTTAGGGTTGTGGGGGAGCTGGAACCTATCCCAGCAAGTAACGGGCACAAGACGGCATTCACTCTGGACGGGATGTCAATCCATAGCATGGCAGACAGACACGCACACAGTCACACCAAGGGCCAGTTTTTCCAGAAGCCAATTAACCTCCCAGCATGTCTTTGGACTATAGAAGGAAACTGAAGGAAATCCACACGAATGAGGCAAGAACATACAAACACCGTGCAGATAGCTCCCCAGGTCCAAAACAGAGCCCAGGGCCCCTGAGCTGCGAGGCAATAAGGCAAACCACTGCGCCACCATGCCGCCCTAAATTATACCATTGTTATTAAAAAAATGAAAAATGTGTTTTTACATGAGACTGAGATCGAAATTTTAATATTACAGAGGCTGACCGCAAGCTCCCCATGGTAACCTAGGAAACTGAGTGACAGATTGCTGAGGTTACTTGACTATAATTGTTTTGGATCCAAGTCATGCTGAAAGGGCGCTTAATGGAGCAGAAAAAATGCAAAGGCAGTAAAGAAATGGTTAGGTCTCTCAGAATTTAAAGAAAGAGGAGAAGACAGATTGCTTTGGCCGACTAATTACTTTCCACAAAGCCAAAGAGATATAGGATAGTTTTGAAAGAGCAGAGAAGCTTACAGAGGCAGTGGCATTAAGCAATGAGCTGTCAGAACCTCCTGCAAACAGCACACTTTACCTGCTTCTCAGGCAGTGGGATTTTTCACTTTTATTGCCAGAGACAGAACAGGAGCCCCTGCAGTGTAAGAGACGGGAGCTCTTGGATGGAGCCTTGATTCCACTGGACCTCTGTACACTGGCCGGTGGCAGCACCCTGACTATTTTGTACACCCAGCCAGTGTAGTAGCGAGGAGCTCATGAGTGAAAGCAAGAAGAACAAAACCTGATCCCTTTAGAGCTTGCCAGGAAAAGAGAAAAGGACATTTCTCCACTCCTCAGAAAGTCCCGAAAGCTCTTTCAGTTCTTCCTACACCACAACCTCTCACAGGCCTCTGTTTTCTGGCCTTCATGTCATTCTGAATCTATTGAAATGGATGCTGCTCCACTCAGGTTGCCTGTCCATTTGGATTTCTCCAATGTGCCTTAATCCCTGTTCTGGTCCTGTGTTGCTCTTCTGTACCTTGTCTAAAGCCACTATATAATGTGCTACAGTCGTTTAACCAATCACACTGCTTCAAAACCTCTTGGATAGACAAATCACAGTATTTGGGCTTCATCACCTCAAGTAAAAGGTCACCATTCAGTGTCTGTCTGTTTCCACCTGTACTGTTTGCTGCTATTACTGGTTTGATGAAGTGGTGATACCATCATCACCATTCTCACAGAACATGTCGGCCAAAGCTATGAATACACTGATGTTCACATATTTAAATGCGTTTAATCTGTATGAAGTCATTCTTTTCTCTTTGGAACAGAAGCTGTGACACAATAAAATGATCTGGTGAAATTGAAACATTTGTTATTTAGTTTGAGATTAGATGTATTTTACTAATGGCTGTTAATGAAATCACAATCTTATATGTTGTTTTAGTAGGCCTCCAATTATATTGTCTAACAGGCTGTTTTTATAGCTGACATTTTCTGTCTGCAGTGTTCTTGGATATTCAGGACGCATGAGTCTGAATATTTCAGTTTCAGTATGACAAGGACTGATGGCTCATTAATCAAGCGGCTCTTTCATCTTTTTTCCTGGTTCCTTCCAGTTTCCAATAAACTTTTTGCCAGTGTTGGGCTGTACTCTGCTTAGTTTACCACTTTCTCGTGAAATTCTTTTCCTGCAGGCACTCTTGTTAAAAGATTAGGAAACAGCTATGGATGCCAGCGCAAAGTCCCCAGTTTTGTGCTCTCTGCAGAAACTAGTGGAACTGTTCTGTTGTACATTGCCAGTTCATGTAAGTGGCTGCTTTAGATATTACTGTTTGATATTATCCATTCGTTCGTTTTTTAAACACTTCAGCCAATTCAGTGCTGTGGGAGATCTCGGCAAGCAATTGGTGCAAGACAAGGTACACCCTGGATAGGACGCCAGTCCATCACAGGGAACACACAGACACAGACGTGCACACCCTCACACCAGAGTCAGTTTTCCCAGTAGCCAGGTAACATACCAGTATGTCTTTGGTCTTTGGGAGGAAACTCACGTGAACATGGGGAGAACATTACAAACTCCACACAGATAAGATCCCAGGTCCAGAACAGAACCCAGGGCCCCAGCACTGCATGGCAGTAATGTTAACCCCTGTACCACTGTGCCACCCATCTGATAATGTCTTTAGTGTAAGTTGTGGAAAGCAGAGTAAAGAAGAAAGACATGCAAGTGGGAACTGCTCTGATAGCCTAGTGGCAGTGATGTAGAACAGTGGCTCCCAGCCCTGGTCCTGGAGGACTGCTGAGGTCACTGGTACTCGTTCTTGCGGTGCTCTGATTCGCCACTGCTAATTGATGGCTTAATAAATCTGCTTGTTTGTTTAAACTTTTATCTAATTTGTTTCTTCGGTCAGCGCTATCAAAAGTGCCATCAGTGCTATCAGAAATTTCAGGGCTGTGGTTTCCAACAACTTCCACCCCCTAGAACCTCTGTTCAAATTGCTCGCTGTTATTTCTGACTAAACAGTTCTTACTAATTAATTAGTTATTAATTAATAAGTTGATGAACAAACACGGGGAGTGAAACTGTATCACACTCCCACAGAGAGCACTTTTTTCCTTTTGTGAAGTTCCAATTGGTTACATTTCAGGCAGCATAACTGAATGAAGGCAGTTCTGAAACTCAGCAGTTGGTACAGGGTGGATATTTATTACAAATCCCATCTGACATCTTAAAAGCTGAAAACAAATTAGGAAAAATGCCCAAATAGAAAACTGAAATCAATGATCCTGTGATTAAGAACTACATTGAAACAAAAACCAGATGACAAGGTGATCTCCCAGAAAAAAGTATGGAAATTACTGCTGAGAAGCTGGTGTAGAAATCAACAAAGTAGGGTGGCAAAGAATAATTGTGGGAGTTTACTTATAGGTTATAGTACACAGAATCACAGACAAAGGAAAAAACAAGCTGAACATTTACAACAAAACAAATAATGAAACAGCAGTGAAGAGGTGGGGGAAGATTAAACTAAACAAAAATAAGTGTGTACAAAATATACATCTTCCTTCAATCCCAATAGGCAATACCCAACAAGAAGTTATCAAACAGTTCAAAATTAATCCATTATTAAGTCAGTCAAGCATTCCACTGTGAAACTGAGAGCTTGGCATGTACAAAAACCTGTGGTAGGTGTGTGGGACTCTTGGACCAGGACGGGGAAGCCCTGCTCTGTAAGATCGCTGTATTGTTATTCTGTAAGGTGTAGGATCTGTGCTCTCACAGAATCCACAGGATGACAGACTGTCACTGAGAGAGAGAAGTCAGGAACACTGTGGAGACTCCTGGGGAGATTCCAAACAAATCAAAACTGCTTTACTGGGCCTGGAGTTGTGTGGAGACCAGTTTCTACCTAGCTTCCCTGAGTGAGTGAGTGGGAAATTGGAGAAAAGGCAAGAGAAACAAAAGAGAACTTACGGCCGACAGACAGGGGACTCACCTGGGATGAAGTACTGCTCTTTTGCTGTGGAGAGAACAGAGAAAAAAAATATTACTTGACACCTCATGCAGTTACTCTGGCAAGAGGAGAGGGAGATATCCACTCTGAATCCACAAACTGGCCCCATCTTAACTGCAAGATTAACGCTGTATAACAAACAAATTAAATAGTCTAATGGTTCCAGACTGAAATGGAAAGCTGCTGTCAAGTGGCCATTTCTTACATGGGTTCTGGGTGATGAAGAACCTGGCAAAGAGCTGTTAAGTCCAGCAGGAAGTGAGAAGGTTGGTAAGCGTGATAAACTAGGGCAGTAGGAAGCGAAATTGAGCAGCCAGTCATTGCTCAAACACCCTTGCATATTCACTGGGGCACCGACATTCAGAAGGGATTAGCTGAACATCCATTGTAAACCAGCAGCAGCTAACCGCGAGCAAGGCAAATGCCAACCCGCTAAGCCGCAGCCTACAAAGACGCTAAAAGGCATTAAAAGGCTTTGAGAACTCTGGCCGCAATGTAGTAGAAACCCAATCCCAAGGCCTTGGAGGTGATGTCAGCGTTTGGGGGGGGTTAATGTGAAACCAGACTCACAATGTGTTAATGCATTAATAAAAAATCTAATCTTACTCCCTCTGACCGGTCCTGGCAGCAGAGCTTACAATGCCTCCTCCAGCAAGATCCCCTGCACTGCCTGGGATTGGATTCGCACAGTTCAGCAGCCTGGGGGACAGGGCCAGCAGGAAGCCAGGTTTTTTTTTCCCTTTTCAAGTAGTATTGATCAGTCTGAAGCTGCCTGGCATTTCAAATCAAGTACACCAGACACCTGTTCTTAATGCTGACAAGTCAAGGGAAGCAGAAAGGGGGGATGTGCTGCTATTGCTTCTGTCACAGCTGTGGTGAAGAGAGTTGATTTCGGGTGGCTGCTGGGGTTGTGTGGGAGAGGGAAAGAGGAAGAAGGGAGGTACTGGGTGCTGGGAAGAGAGAAAAGAGGGAGGTGGAAGAGGAAGGAAAGACAGGGGATGCAGATGGCAGAATGAAGGGGACCCGGGCCCACCTGAGCAGCGGAACTTCTTGCTCTTGATCTGCCCGATGCGCTTGTTGGCGAGACGGCGGGGGCTGGCGCAGCGTGCGCCGCTCGTCTCGATGGGGTTGGAGCGCAGGTAGTCCGCCAGCCACTTCAGGTTACAGTCACAGATGAAGGGGTTTTGCGCTAAGTGTCTGCAGGAAGGGAAGGGAGAAGGGCAGGCTTAGTTCCTGACAGGGCACTTTCCACCTGTGTTACAGATCTGTTATTGGCTGTCCATAGAGCTGCACGTCACATCTGAACGTGTGTAAAAGGTCTCTCGCTCAGAGGGAGGTCGGCTGTTTAAGTACAGTACAGCAATGCGAGAAGGCAATATGTGTGCATATGATTGACAATTGGGTGTGTAAAGAAGAGGTCATTGAAATGTTAAAAGACACTAAAATAATACTAATATGTTAACACTGACAACCTATTTTAATAGAATTCTAGAATTAAAAAGATGTTAAATTGAATATTTGTTAAACAGATGAAAGCTTCATGCTCAAGATTTGAAGCGGCCACCTCATGATGTATTAAAATAAAGAACAACTTTCCTCTCGCACTCGAATGGGACAATAAACCTGATGATCGCCACTGCATTTTCCCCAAACTAAATAATAATAACATTATATTGCCAAAATTAATATAACAAATATACAGTATGTTAAAAATATTAGTATATGCCTACTGAATGTTGGCTCATAGCACACTTTTACATTTTTATAATTGCTTCAAAAAACAACAAAAATAAATTTGTTGCTACTCAGCAAGTCACTCAATCTGTTATCAGGAAATAACAGCACAGGCTGTTATCAGGGAAGCGGCAGCTCTTAAGCAGCAGGGGGCAGACAGACTGCTCTCGGCACCACAGCTATTCCTGAGAATGGGCGAGCTGGAAGAGAATTCTGCAGCTTGAAAAATGCTCGAGCTGTTTTTGGTTACTTTTTGCTTTTAAAAATGGTGGACTTTGCACTTCCAGATAACAAAAAATAAAACAACAACAAAAATACCGTGCCGTTCTCTTAATTTAAGGCTAATAAAAAACTAGTACAACTATCAAAGCAATAAAATATAATTCTGTTCCTCTATGATCACATCCTTCACAAATTAATTTATTTCTTCCTTCCTGTGCAGTGCGTGACATGGCCAAATGCTAGGCCTCTGGATGAGGATTTCCATCACCTTGTCAAATCCAGTGTCTCTTCAGCCCCTAGCAGTGTTCTAGTACTTGCAAATGTGTGAAAGTTATGTGTGTTTTGCATGGCATCCTAATTGCTCTCCAGCACATGGTACAGCCCTCGTTCCAAGTCCTGTATCTAATTTGAGACTGTAGAATACGGTACGGGGTCAGAGTTTATTTTTATTTTTCATGAAACTATAACCATATATAACACTCGTTTAACCCTAGTTGTGCAGTTGTTGCCCAGCTGACATTTCCTGCGTGTTAGGCTGTGAGGCAGGAGTGTCAGTTGAACATGTGAGGGGATGTGAATTACGAACCCCAGTTTTAGATCCCACTGCGCTACACTGAAGGAGTATTAGGACAACGTTCAGAAATGCTGAACTGCAGTAGAAGAGGTAGACACAGAAATTTATGAGAAAAAGAGTATCTGCATGGAAAACTAATGCTGCTCACTGCGCATATAATTGTACATACAATCTAATATTGTGTGTAGTCTTACAGTATATGGAGTCAGACGTACCCCATGAGAAATACAACAGTTGGTATGACAACAGGTCATTCCTAATTTACCTTATAGTAAATATAGTTTTTTTAACAGAATAAGAAGCTTATAATTGATTAAAAACTTATTTTTTGGAGCATGTTTTTAAAAAATGTTTTAAAAGTAATGGGGTGTCAAGCGGAGGCTTTGCATAATCGCAAAACACATCTGTGCGTGTCTGTGTGCCTCTGTTGTGATCAACTCGTATCCCATCCAGGGTGTGCTCTGCCCTTTGCTCGTCAGGATAGACTCAGCCTCCCCATGGCCCTGCATTGGAAGAAGTGGCTAGAAATGGATGGATAAAGTTTTGGATCTAAGTGGTTAGCATAGATGTGAGCGCGCGCATGCTGTTCAAATTTGGGAATTTGTGTTAGTATTGTTGACGTGGAAGATTTTTTCCTTGTGACCCTTTCACCCTGTCAGTTTTCACTACGTGTCTCCTCACATGAAAATTGCCTGTGCCCCATCCATAGTCCATACAATAAATGTTCCTTGTCCGAAATTGTCGTGTCATCTCTGTTGTTCATTGCTCACTTATTCTCTTTAATTTAACCTTTCTACAGGACAGAACCTCAAATTAAGTCAATATTTCCTTATTATGTTAGGCCGCAAGTTCTAATTAGCTATTCTATGATCTATGTATGTATCTGTCCATCTTCAACAACCACTTTGGCTAAATTTTGGCAACAGTCAAAATGGTTACAACTCAGTGTTGTGCTGAACAGGAGACAGAATACACCCTGAACAGGACACCAGTCCTTCTCAGGGGTGCATGCACACATGTAGTGGACAAGTTAGAGATGTCAACAAACCCAGACCGCACATTAAAGGAAACCAGAGCACCGGGTGAAAAAGAAAGCGTTTAGAATACATTCCACTCTGGAATTGAACCCAAAAATCTGAGTTACAAAGCAGCAATGCTGAGTACGGTGCCACTATCCTGTCTAATGCATATATCCTATTAGATAACAAACAATGTGAGCAATTTACTGCATCTGTGCAAGACTGTATTTCTGAGCAATAGTGTGCGTGTATACAGGGTGCTGACAGACTCACAGTGTCTGGATGGCTCGCAGGGCAGTGAAGGTGCCCTTGGCCAGAGTCTGGATCTTGTTGTCATAGAGGGAGAGCAGGGACAGGTTCTGCAGGTCCTGAAAAGCGTCGGCTCTCACACAGTGAATCTTATTGGCATTCAGCAACCTGGAGAGAGAGAGAGAGCTATCAGGTTCATTCGGAAAATAAACCAACATCATCTGGATGCACACAGATGGCACCAAACTGGATGGATTTTTAAAACTTGTTCCTTCCCCCATTAATGTACAGATCTAGCAAGAAACAATGTGTATACAGCCATTATCAGAAATCCGCTTATTCCTGGTAATGCTCAAAGCAGCCCTGAGCCTGTCCTGGATGAATAGAGGGGAAGACAGTACTACACTGTGGATGGGCTAGCAGCCAGAGAAATCAATTAAAACAAGAAACTAGAGCACCTGGAAGAACCACACAGACATGGCAGGACACGCAAACTCCGTACAGAATGCACTCCAGGCCAGAATCAAACCCAGCAGTGCTAACTGCCATGCCACTGTGCTAGACCCAGTACAAGTGTGGAAACAAAGAATTGGAAACTTTAAAATAGATTAGATTTTTACTGTTGGAATTTTTGTGAGCACATCATAGTCTGCTACAGTATATGCTGGCTCAGAAAGCTATCTTCAATTTGTTACAACACAGTAACATACCAGAGAAGACCAGATCCATCTTTCTTTACAATAGTAGAAAACCACAGCCGCTGTTGTGAGAGGCCATTCTTCAATTGTTATAGTAAATATTTCAACTTATCAATACAGCATTCATTTATAATTACAGTGTTTTGCAGTCCCAACTGTATAATTAAGAGTATAATTGTGTTTAATACAGTATACAGTCTGAACACTACCCTGTGTTCTGTATTTGTGTATAAGCAAATTATTATCACAATTACAGTTTCTAACTGAATAAATTCTATGCTGATGCATCAATTGCATGTAAGATTTCCATAATCCTTGCTATAAAAATATAAGTAGAAGAAATATGCAAATATTGAATTCCCACCTAACATCATGACTTATAATTGTTCAATACATTTTTAAAAGATAAATGTTTGACACATGTATGTTAATTTATTGACATACATTTATGAAAGAGAACCTCTCTTTTTTCCCACCACAGTGATGTAGAGTGTTAAAACAGAATTTGTCTCTTCGTCTTTGTTACTCACAGCAGCTGCAGGGAGTATAGTCCATCAAACACACCTTTGGGCAGCTCAGTGATTTTGTTCCCATACAGAACTCTGAAAGCAAAAAGGAGGTGTGTTTTTTTAATACAGCTATTCATATTTTTCCTACTGTTATACATTGACACACTGATTAAAACTCTGAATTCTGAATTGTTTTCTTAGGCCCATGGCTGTCTGCGTTTCAATCTCTCTTAACCTTTATCCAAAACTGCCCACCAGCCTACAGCAGGCAGAGAAACACAAATCAATAAACAGTAACCAGTTATCCCTTTTATTTGCCAAGTGTTACATGAAATTTGAGCTGGTGCCTTGGTGCAAAAACACAGACATAATCAATAATAAGTACACACTACACACAAAGAACATGCACAGGTCCACATTTATATAAATACTACATCTGTATTTATGTGTTCTCTTTAACTAATGTAATTGCACTGGAGAAGAAGCTGTTGAGATGCTAAGTGGTTACCATTTGCAGACACAATGAGACTGACACATTCACACATGAAAAGAACTAGCGTTCACACATGCCCGGGCATGGTGTCATAATACTGGAGCCTATCCATCACATGCGCACATCAGCCACTCACAGCGAGTTGAGAGAGCGCAGGCCTTGGAAGGCATCGGGAGCAATCTCTGCAATCTGGTTGTTGCTGAGGTCTCTGTAGGAAACGAAACACAAAACGAGATTCAGTGCTAGTATCTTCCGCACACCATTCTGACCCCAGGCCTCCAAAGGGCTCCACTGCTGATAACGAGACAATTCAATTAGAGCCGCCGTTTCAATCTAAACTTTCTATTCTGGAGGGATGCTCTTCACACACACACCTGAATGACAGCCTCTCAGGCTTGTGGTAATTAGTACCAGGCTCTCCCTTGAGAAGTGTGCTGTGGCTGGTGGATGCCATCGGCTTTTTACATAAGCACATGGTATGCAGTTCTGAGTCATGCCATTAACAGGTACAAGGAAGTCTCCATCTCTCTTGACGCCTGTGGTTTGTTATGCTTATGAAGTGCTTGACGGTGCTTCATGAGAATCACGCTCATGCTGAATGTACTGGCTTTTCATCAAGTTCACGTTCAAGAGACTGTCGCTCCTTTTGTCAATTGAAAACAGCTGAAATATGCAAGGATTTCATCTCAGGGCAACCCAATACATCTGATATTTTTTAGCTGCTCTAAATGGTTGATATTGGCTTGGGAAATACCCCCGAAGGATATTGCAGACCTAAGACAGGTGACTTTTACTGTAACATTTCTCAGTGGATTAAATGGAGATGGAAAAGTAGATGGAGTGAATTTTAAGAACTAAATCATGAGCTACTGTACATTGTATCCTATGCAATGTCAGTTCATACTGTATAAGGGAAGCAGCTCTGCTGTATTTAATCGAACAGTGGTGAGATGCAGATGCTACAAAACTTCCAACACAAATCACACAAGAACTTTTGAACCATTCATTATGCATTGTCTACATTGTTGTTCTGCAATATACAGAAGTGAGGCTAGTGTTCACATTGCTGCAGGAGGTATTCATAGTATAGTTGTATATACTGTATATTGTGTAATGGCGGGAGATGTGCTTTTCACATTTTTAAATGCCAATGCCTATTTATAGTATATGGATGCAGTAGTGTGTGGGTTTCATAGAAGACATACTGTTTCTGTAACATTGATTTCTTGCAAATGTTAGAAATTATTGATTTTATTGATGGACATACTGTAATAAACTTCATATAACAATCATCATGCCACATTTCCTGAATTTTAGTTGTCAGTACACGTAAGCACAGAGCTCGTGTGTACAGTAAATATATCGTAATGTCAGCTCCCTATTTATATTTGTAGTTAATTCAGACAGGAACATTTTGATTTTAAAAGCTGGGAATGTAGTGCTGGGCCTCACAGGCCTCTGCAGTCACTGTCTCTGAGGTTAGCAGGGCTTGGGAGAGCAGTGACCAAAGAAAAGCAAGCAGGAAAAAAAGGGTTTATTTTTGCTTGCAGGTTTAACAGGACCTCGTGTTTGTGTACCCAGCCACTGGGCCACCAGAGGCAAAGGAAGGGCTATTGAGCCAAAGTAAAAAATGCTGTTTCTTTTCCCAAGCCAGACAGCTATTCCTGAGAGATGAGCAAGGGAAGGTTTGTGGTGTGTGCGCTGCTGTAAACAGAATGATGATAAATGTCAGTGTGTGGCATCTCTGGGGGTGTGGTGGAGGAATCGCTCACCACTGTAACCACCCAGTCACACACACGTATTTCACAAGACCGTAATTACGTGACGCGAGTCCCACAATTTATGGAAAACTCACGATTTGCATATACAGCACAGACTGGCTGTGTCTTGGCATGGGAAAGATGAAAACCCCACCAGCACTTCAAAACCACTGAATTATTCCAGAATACAACAGCAGGACGATCCAAACTAAGATCAAGACATTTACATTTCATAAGGGTATGGAATAGAAATTTGTTTTATTCGTACTACATTTTCTTTACTAACTAGAATGAAACAAGATTCTCAAAACAATGGAAAGGCAATCCCAAGCAGCATTTGTAACGCCCTAGCTTTTCACTAAAAGGCTATTCAACATACAAACCCAATAAATAATGTAAAAAATAACGTATTGCAGTACTTATCCCTCCACGTGAATCCCCCACTGCTATACAAGGAGGAGGGAAGCCACTTCATCCACAAAAGACATGCAGCCAATAAACACAGCAGAAAAGGGGGAGACGTTCTCACCCAAAGGAGAGCACCACCTTCTGGTCCACCAGCACACTTGCAACAACCTGCTTTTAGTTACAGGTGACCTTTCCAGGTTCTCCCCACGTTGGTCAAGCCTCTCTTAACTTCTGAGATCTGATTAAGATCAGACGTTAATGTGTGGACACTGCTGTTGTTACGTGATTGAACACTCACTCTATGAGGCAGATTGTGGATGCTTATCAGAACGATGTGCGCTGAATTTAACTTACATTCTACGAAGCTTCTTGTAGGGGGAGAAGGCTCCGGGTGGCACAGACTTGATCCCATTCTGTTCCAGGCGTCTGTGGAGACAGAGACGAAACAGTCAAGCCTTCAACAGTCCACATATCCCCCCACCCCGGCATTTGTTGAGTGTCCTGTGTGCACTGGTGACTTTGTGCAGATGATTGAGGGTGGGTCTGACACATCTGTGGTGGAAGAAGGGAGTCCCCATTATCTGTAAAGCACCTTGAGTGGAGTGGAATGGTGAAAGCACTATACTGTATATACATACCTGTACTGTATATGTTTAAGGATTATTATTATTATGTGAAGGCATGTCTTGAAAGAAAACCTGTTTCAGTCAAGACCTACTATGTCCGTAGTTTAAGCTTAGGAGGTAAAACAGATTTTGCTGAGTTTTCGATTCATGTAACTAAACGGTGCATCGGTTGCACTTTTTCAGATATTGTTTCATTAATGACAACAACAACAACAACAACAACAACAACAACAACAACAACTATAATAATAATAATAATAATAATAATTAATAATAATAATAATAATAATAGCTGTTTCTTGAACAAAGCCAGGTATCAGTTTGAAAACACGGAAGAGCAGCTTGTTCCAGACTCCCACAACCTCAAATCCCCACCATACACCCCACAACACTCATGTGATGAGGCAATTCAAATAACTGTTATTAGGCAGGTGAAGCAGGAGAAAGCTTCTCCGTGTTGTAAATATTGTTCCTATGCTGCTGTCCATTTCTTTAAATTACCAATTACATAAAACGTTTGTTATTATTTTGGACAAACATACACCACCTCCCTGAGTGATTAAGAAATAACCCAAATGCGATTTCCACTTTTTCCAGCTACATTGTCTTGTTTGAGCTGTGTTTCTCTTTTGTGTCTGGAGGTTGCTCCTCAATTTTTCTTACAGTTATACTGAAGAATTCATGACCCTGTGACCAGCCTTCCTGTGTTTAAATATAATCTTACTCCATTTCCGAAGATGTCACCTGTCCTGTATGGCTTTGCTCTGTTTAACACACATGTGAACCCCCAGCTCTCAGTCATAACATCTACCGTAATAATAAACAAGTTGAGGCAACAAATGGTTGTTTGAACAGTGCTGGATTCCTCCAGTACTTGGCTCAGCTTCTCCCTGTGCATAGAGCAGCCCATCCTTCCAAGTCACAGGCAGGCTTGCTAAATGACTCTGTCAGCAAGGCTAAGCTGGGTTTCAACCTCCTAATCCCCTTGCCTCCAAGCCAGGCTGCTGGAAGTTACACTCCTGACGTACAGTATAGAAGACTCAGCACTGGATGCTTTGAGGAAAGACTCAGAAAAGAAAAATCTGAGAATCTGTGGTGTTCCAGTACTTTTAATGTTTATGCGTGTCCTGCAGTCAGTGCCGCAGCTATGAGCTTCCAAGCTAACACGGTTGGGGGGACTCATGGGCAGAAAACAAGCAAGCAGAGAGAAAAGTAACCTGTTGTGAGGCAAAAGTTGAAAGCAACACTAGAGTACAATATCCTAAAAGTAACAGGGCAGGGGGCATGTTAAGATTCTTAATTCCCATTGTATTTCATTTCATACCTCTTCCATATCACTTTGTATTTCAGCAGAGTTGCTTCTTATTTACTTGAGGTTTTCTCATTCATAAGCATCGTCTGTCCATTCATTCAGCCTTTTTCACACTGTTTTATCTAAAATAGAGTCACAGAGGAGCTGGAGCCTATTCCAGGAAGCAAGGCAGCATACACCCTGGACAGGATACGAGGGCACACACAGACCCAAACACACACTCCCACACGAACACAGAGAGGACATACAAACTTCAGATAGCATGCCAGGTCTGGAACTCATCCCAGGGCCCCAGTGCTGTGAGACAGCAACGCTAACCACTGCACCGCCGTGCCGCCCATAAGTAGTGTCTTTGACAGGATTTAAAGTTGGCAAAGTGCTTGTTTTCTAGAATTGAGGAATGCTAGCGCCATGACACATTCCAAAACAGAACACCTCACGCAGTATAACCAGAACGAAGAACCTCTGGTGTGGGAGCTGGGCCTAACACAGAACCTCAAACCTATCTATAAAAAGCACACAAAAAAAACAGTCTCTATCTCCTGTGCTCTGTCCACCTGTCTTTGGGCTAGCGAAGGGATGCTTAACGGAGGGAGGGAGAGGTCAAAGGCAGACGTCACGGGTCTGTCTTATTAATCGCATGTGGGGTTTCCGCAGTCGAGTGAGATTCATCCATTGCGGAAACGTCAGGAATCGCAACCTAATCATCTTCAGATGTGCTGGAAAAATCCAGGGATGCAATAAAGGTTTATTTTTTTTCGTGCTCTGAAAATCCCATTAGTGGCTGCGTTTGGGGCTGGCTGTATTTTAGGGCCCTCGTTAATGGGCTGCCTTGTGCTTTTCCAGATCGCAGCAGAGCAGACAGCTGCCTTTGAGACACTCTCTCAATCCCCCCTAAGCCTAATTAAGGGAGGAATTTTAAAAGCTGTGAACTGACCTATAAATAAACAGTATTTTACCGGGCACACCGGGGGTACAGCTCTGCCTGATACAGAGCCTTGGCACAGCGGGCACACCAGTTGGGCACCGTGCACATCCGCAGCCTGGGACTACTTCCCCATTCAGCAGCATTCCAGGGGTGCGTGGGAAATAAATAGTGCCCCACTTGAAAATGACAGAATAAATTAACCCATTAATTGCCAACTTGCAGCTCAGGCATTGCGGGAACAAGGGTTTAAAGTATGTTTACTGCTTTAAATACTATAAAGGCTTTTTCTTCCCTCTTTGAAGGGGAGGGAGAAGGTCACCCCCTCCTCTCCCAACCAGAAAAGAATATATTTTCTATACAGTATGTACCGTGAGCTATTGGCCCTTTCTTTTTATAGAATGGTTAGGTCAAGCAAACAGAAGTCAGTTTCAACACAGTAACTCACCAGAGCTGAATAATTATTATGGGATATTGCTGACCTTGGGGGGACAGAGTCTTTTAAGCAGTTAACTAGTAACACGTTAGGGTTTTACATGCATTTCACAGCAGATCTGTCTTCGTTATCACTCTCAAAGGGCTCCTATAATGGGAATTATTGTAGAAGAGGTTGCTATTGTCATCTGGAAATGGACTGAACCGTCAAGATCATTTTCTAAAGGGCTGAATGGCACCTATATAAACTGAAGTCACTGTCAGTTACACTACTGAAGCACTACTACAGAGAAGTACTCACTAAACTGCCTTTTTTCACAATTTACAAAAACAATTGTAGTAAAATAGCCTGCAGAAGAGATGAATTTTAAAATTATTTCTAACTGAATAATACTGCTCATTGTGTGACTATGATCCAAAGTTTACCAAATAAAAAAATAATAGTACTTTACAGAAAAACATAAAGCTATTTAATTACTAAAAAAGTGTAGAAAGCAATATATCTGTTATTTGTCTACTTTTTTGTCTACATGCAAGCAATAATGACGATTTGTTGTTTTTAAAGACAGTGTAGAGCTATGATCAATCTGGTCAAGTCATATTACAGTAAAGTTAATCAGTCCTCTGCAGCTATAACAGGTTTTATAATACATGAGAGAATGCAAGGGAATCACTACTGCTTATGACTGATAAAACACTTTCCATTATGTAACGTTTATTGTTACTAACCTAAGAGAAAAAAACATTTTAGTGACTTTTACTTTGGGATCCTAACAATTCATATAATCCCTTTCAACCACATTTTTGTTATTTTCTGTTTCTGTAAAAGCAGGCCCAAATTTGACATGGTGGTAAATGTTTCTGAAGTTATTAAACTTACAATATTCAGCTGTAAAACATCTACAGAAGAACAAGGAAACAAAGAAACAATGTAGTTAAAATGGTTCAGCAAAAATGGAAAAGTCAGAAATTCAGTGGTGGGCTTTTCAAATTAAAGCAAAATATGTTTTCACTCTGTTTCTCACTATGATTGGATTTACAGAGGTTTTTTAATTTAATTTACTGCCAGTCCCTCACACCAAGTTTATCTTGCATAGTTCCATTATGATTCAGAGTGTCTTACCAAGCCAGCAAAAGCTTTAGAAGAGCTTTGTATAGCAAATGTGTTATGCTCGCTTTGAAATTATATTGGAACCCGAATGGTGATGTGGGTATACTCTACAAATTTCTATATACTGTATATCCATATATAAAGCTGCATGGTCCAAACAATGAAAGGGGAAAAGAAAACATGCTCATTGACTAAAAAAAGGCAAAAGTTTAATTTTTAATTGCATGTTGCAATTGTTATTGTACAACTTTGAGGTATGAGATTTGGTATACAACACAGAAACTGATAAGCAGATTTAGCAATCAACCATGTTTCAATAACAAAGGTCCATCCTGTGTTCCCGTGTGTGCTTATGTGGCACTGTGCCGGTTTATTACTGTTATTAATAAAGAGCAATAGAATATGCTTTACTCTGCCACAGTCAACACCTGCACCTGGGCGGTGCTGTGGCTCTGTGGCTAAGGATCTGCACCTGTGGCTGGAAGGTTGCTGGTTTGTATCCCGCGGCCGGCAGAGGAATCCTACTCCGGTGGGCCCCTGAGCAAGGCCCTTAACCCCTACTGCTCCCGGGGTGCTGTATAAATGGCTGACCCTGTGCTCTGACCCCGAGCTTCTCTCCCTGTCTGTGTATCTCATGAAGACCAAGTTGAGGTACTGTATGTGAAAGAGACAAATTCCTAATACAAGAAATTGTATATGGCTAATAAAGTGATCTTATCATAAGGGAGTCGCATGGAGCTGACTCCACTGTGTGTATGAGTTCAGTGTCAGTGTGAGTGTGCACAGCTAGCCTGACAGATTGCTCCTGCAGCTCTGATCAATACAAGAACCCAGCACCTCAGCTCAACACGGAGCCCAGTTGATGAATCTGCTCGTTTAAGAGCAGCAGATTGAAATCGATCTTGAGGGGGGTGGGTAGGTGGGCTAAGGGTCGGAAAAGAAACTTTGCAATCATCGCTCAGGGAAGGGGGGGGAGGATTGATTCCCAATGCAGAGAAATGAGCCTGGCTGAGTTTTCAATCAATCCCCAGAAAAGCAACAATCTGCTGAAGAACCCAACTGGTGGATAATCAATGCAGCTCATTTCATTCATCGCGCTGTAAGCACGGCCTTAATTAAACGAGAACACATAATGTCATTAGCTATTCATCCTCCGAGAGGCACGAGGACCCCTGGTAATCAACGCTGTTTACAGCTCCTGGCTTCTAAAATAAATCACACAGAATGTGAAAGACGCAGGCAGTGTCTTCTCAGTGACTGACTGACAGGCTGGACTTTTCAAGGTGAGGCATCAATCAAGAGTGGCTGGGCACTGTGCCTTTGTGCAGCCCTAAATGCGAAGACTGTAAAGAACTGCACACACACACGCTCACGCGGCATCAATCCACCAGAGGCGAAGTCCTCTGGCCGAAAATAACAACTAGGCCACTGCAGTAGCTCGTTATGGCTACCGTATGTGGCCGTCCTTCCTTAGTTCTAGAAAAAGTAGGCTGGGATACAAGTGAAACAGAGTTCTAATGAACTTCAATGGTCAGGAAAGCTAGACAGCTCACTTAAACAAAAAGGGCTACCGCTTATTCTTTTAAAGATCCCTATTTTAGGAATTAACAGCTTAACAGTTGCAAATCAGCTCAGCTCCATGCATTCACATTCACACCAGCTTGGGACAGATGGAGATATCACACATGCACCCCCTGAATATGCACTGTCAGACAACACTCTACACTGTCAGGCATCACTCTTCAAGCCCATAGTGCATACACTGGAGATAAAGTGAGAGACGAAGGGCTAATATAACACAGGCTCACTGCTAACTACTAGCCACTGGTATTCTCTACATTGAGAGTCCAACTTTGGCTCTGAGCAGAGGCCAATATTATACTCCTGTCTGCTTGGCTTTGCACATGAACAAAACAGATTTGAGGTTACACTGAGAAACTCTCCTCCAAAGTCTGTCAAAGGGGGAAATCTGAGATAGTAAAATGTCTGTCAAACTGACTAAAAGGTGAAGGGGGTGTCTGTGTCTAATTATTCCATGGCTGCAATGGCAGCAGACCAATCAACCTGTGAAGGTTTGTGAAACTGCACACTGACTGCAAGTGGAACAGTACGCTTTCACCCCTGAGCCTTTTCCACAAGGTGACGTCACTTCCTAGCAACCTAGAGTTGAATAGTCTTATGGCAGGAGTCCTGTTCTTTAGGTGTAGAGGATTGCACTGCTGTGTGGGAAGATGGGGAACTGGAGATGTCCATGGGAAGCTGGGGAATGAATCCCAATGGGTGCAGAACTACACATGTTACTCAGTCACACATGCATTGCTTTGGTGTACTTTTTTCATTTTTACTGGTTTTAGTTTTTAGTGGGATGAAAATCCATTTTATAAACATATTTTTGTTTTTTGGTGTGGGGAAGGACTTGCCAAAACATTCTATTAATGTTCAGAAATGAATGAGGACTGTTGAACAGGAGCAAGTGAAGCTCACACAATGGCCGCCCCTATGCAGGGATGGAGGACATAAGGTCTCATTGTGAAACAAATACATAACCTTTAGGAAGATCGCAACATGTTCAGCACTACGTAAAATCAATGGATGGCATCTTTGCTCACAGTCTATCTGCAAAATACATTCAGTGTCTATATGACATGCATACTGTTTATGGGTTTTTCTTCCGATGTTGGCTGCAAGCCACAGAAGAAATTCTCAGATTTGGAAAACATGAATTCAATTGTTTTTGTTTTGTAACAAACTAGAGTTGTGCCTAGACATTATGGTTGGGGGGAGGGGGGGGGAAATTGTGCATAACCCCATGAATTTAAAATGGGTATTAGATGGTTTCTAATTAAGCACAGCACGTACAAGTATTTAATCACAGGTGTAGAAATTCTTGAAGCTCTGGTCCTTGAAAGCATGGGAGAGCATGGATTTTCGTTTCAAATGTAAATGAAATTTCCATCAGTCTTTCCATTTTCTACACCGTTTTGTCCAGTACGCAGAGGTGGTAGAAGCCGAATCCTGACACGGCAAGCAACAAGTGCAAGACGGGATCCACCCTGGACAAGACACCAGTCCATCGCAGGGCAGACAGACACAAATATGCACATTCACACCAGGATCAATTTTGCAGAAGCTAATTAACCTACTGGTATGTCTTTGGACTGTGGGAAGAACCCCGAGTTCCCAGAGGAAACCCACAAGAACATGGGGAGAACATACAAACTTCAGCTTGATAGCTCCCCAGGAACTGAACCCAGGGCCTCTGGTCAGAATTAAATTGTGATACAAATTTCATTAATGGATGGTGAATAGTAATCTACAGTATTAAGTCATGCTGGACCATGGTTCTCTAATGGATCAGTTTAGGTGTGTTCAGTTTCTTTTCTCTTCCTTGGGGAATCTTTACAAGCAGGACAACAAAGTACTGAGGTGATTATCAAAGCAGAGAACTTCTTCCCCAACATGTTGAGCCTCACTGAAGTACAGAAAATAGGTCATGATTACAGAACACCCATGCTACAAATAATTATTTTTAACAGAATAAAGTGTGTTGTCAGATTTTGTTTATATTCTTTGAACAAGACAAGGTTCGGAGCACAAAAACAAAATATCAACAACTTGGATATTTTTTGAATTTCACACAAAAAAACTAAAAAATGGTTTGTCTATGCTGCCAAGGACAGAAACCCAAAATGAAGTGTCATCTGAGAGATTACTGTAGGTGTGTGAGCATAGCCATAAACAGTAGCTTGGCAGTGTGTATCACTGCCAAGAGAGCTTGAAACACACAATTGTGCAAATATTATCTGTACTGTGTTTAAATGTTGTGGGAAACTGGGCGATAGCTCTGTGTTTTGGGGCTCATTTTAATATCCCACGGATCTTAATATATGCTGCACAATGGTATATGGTTTATTTAATTTTCTAGACAATATACAGTATACATTTTCTTCAGATTTGTAGTTCACTCCACTGATTTCTATGAGCTTCAGGTCTGCTTAGGGGGTATGATTAGCAAACAGTTTCAGCTGCAAGGTAACTATAACGTTGTTAGATTAACAGCATATCACAAGCAGCTAGAAACCCATTTCCTATTAAGCATAATGATATATCAGTCTTTCAGTAGTTTTGACTTGTTTGCTGAAAATCAGATGTATGTACTCTTCCCTCAGGTGGTGCTTGGGGCACGTTGGAAATTCTGTTGACAGGAAAAAAATTAAAATCGGCTTTATCTTTCCCTCAATGATACTACACGCCAGTGTAGCAAATAGGGCCCTGTAATAGAATTCTCAATTTCTTCTTGATCTCTGCATGAATGCAAAGGAGCCTGAAAATGAAAACGTGTTTCTAGTATTTTGTGTTTCTGTGGGGAGGGAGAAGGGTGGTTTGAAGACATATTGGAAATGTTGTTCAGCTCAGATTGTTTCAATCCAGTAGCTGTAAGTTAAACCTGAGGCTAAAGCGTTATTTGTAATTGGGTAGTTAGTCATTTTGTCAATACTGATACAGTCACATACTTGAGACTAATTCCACAAAAGGATCCAATAGCTCTTCAGGCTTCGTGTTGGAATGACCAATGAGCTTTTTGCATTTGCACTCTCTTCCCTTCTGTCTGGCACTCCTGTTTTTTTATTTGACAAAAAATAATGTCCCGAACTGTGTGGTTTGAGCCTAGACGGCTTCTGTCAGTGTTCCCAAAGAAGCTGGCTTGCTCTGTCATTTGCCTGTTGAACATACTGGAGGGTTTTAGGAAATTGCATTAGAGGATATTTCTTTTTTTAATAGTCTTTACCTAGCATATATCACTACAGGACTCATCCTAGTTTCTTTATGGAACAAGTAATAGGTTTATTCTCACACCTGAAGAAGGCTCCATGGCCAAAACGTTGTGTTTTCTTTCTTCTTTTTTTCAGCATGGATTAAACCTATTACTTGTTCCTTTGCAGCTTACGCATGCTGATGCAGCTACCCACCTGAACTAGTTTCTTTATTGTTAATCAGGCTTGAGACTATGTGGAAGGGACACTTGTCCATCACAGGAATTATCCCCCAGCAGGGCTGATTCCCACTTAAACAGCTGGGTAGACTGGAGCGACTGAGGTCTAAAATCTCGCTCAAGGAACTACAGTATAGTAGTATAGTATAGTAGTCTGCACTGGGAACATGAACCCACAAACTCTCAGTTATGAGTCCAGTGGCTTACCCAAGATATGCAGTACTGTACACTGCACAGATGAATAAACGTAAACAGAAATGCTCTGAGTTTTGTTACCAAAAGTTTGGGATTGTTTCTTTGTTCTTTGCTGAAAATAGCCCTATTTGGACTGTGAAAAAAAACTGCCTCTGACCACTGTTACATAACTCCCCACCCAACTCCAAAATAAAACAGCGTGTATCCGGACAGCTTGCTGAAGTTCTGTCACAAAGTTCTTCAAACATTAGATGGGGGGGCTGAACCTATTCTAAAAAGAGGCATGCTTTCACAATATTCTTGTTTGTAAGTTTGATGTTTTATTTGCTGGTGTTAGAGAAGCATTTAGCAATGTGCTGTTAGACTCTGAGCCTGTCTGCTCTGCTGTCGTGCAGGAACTCACATCTCGGCCATGCTGTCGGGCAGGTTGGCAGGAATGGCAGTCAGTCCTTTCCCCCGGCAGTCCACGATGTTGTTGCTGCAGGTACACATGGCCGGACAAGAGCCTGCTGCCAGGCTACAGGGCTGTAGACCCACAGACTCTGTGTGACCTGGGGGAGAGAGGAGCGAAGGCTTTCAGCTGGGACGGGCAAGCATCGGGTGAAAAAGTAGCTGCTGTACAGTTACAATTTATGTGCCCCTAGATCTCTGTTATTTAAGTTCAATCATTTTGGCACTGAGCTCTGGTCATGACAATGCAATTGATGCCCAGGGAGTGTTTCTGCAGATCACGGAGCACTTTGGAAGTGATTGTGATGATGCATCATCCTGATGGATGGTGAAAACAGATAAGAGATGCCCCTTCAGTTTCAGCTTTTAAATCACGAGTCAATACCTGCTTCTTTAATCCCTATTTATCTTAGCCTATTAGATAATAGGGCTGCTGATGTTCAAAGTGAGTTACATCATTTTCTTTACCTTAAATCTTCCTTCCACGTACTGTAAGATACTTTCTTTTCTCATAATTTTCCCACCGCCAGGATCCCAGGGCCAGGATCAGACACCAAGTATGCCTGTCCTGACGGACCATGACACTAGAATCTGGAAGGCTAGACCCAGAATGGCAGGCCCAGGAAAATTCAGCTTCCTCACTGCTCTGACAAGAGAACAAGATACCAGCCCTGGACACCCAACATACATTCCTGCAACCTACAAACATCCAGAAACAACATTTCGAAACTAATTCACTAACATATTACATGCTACAGTATAATAATAGATATGTATTATCATGTATATTTCAAGAATACTTTATTAAAAACCAATGAGTGTCTTTCTGGATAGATTATTTCTGTGTAGAGTATGTATTAATGGAATGCATGGTTTTTTTTAATCTGTTATGCTTAAAGAGCATCAGCTTATGTTACAACACAACTGTCAGTCTTTTCTTCAGAGAATTTCAAACTGGCTGAACCTATAGTCAGTAGTCTGGTCACACTTTGTCAGTAATGGAAAATCAGACCTAAAATAAGTATCAGACAAATCTACTTTACTGAGTGTACAGAAATGTAATAAAACCTTAGCAGGTTAGTGAAAAAACCTGAAACGATAAAACTGCCTTTTCTTTGTCATTATACCTTGATCATTACCCTGTGTTATTCAGCCCTGTAGTGCTCTAGCAGCTGTGAAGGGAGAGAACAGATGAAAACCCAGATGTGCTGTTGGTCAGAGCTACATCCACATTGCAGGATACACACCTGCTTCTCCTGGATTGGTGTGCTGGGAGCTGTGCATTGTGGGTTTTAGAAGGTTACTGTCTGAATTGTTGGCCAGTCAGAAGAGGATTATGGTCTTTCAAGTAGGATTCTCGAGAGACTGAGGGCTTTCTAGTAGTTAGTAAAAATGAAGCAGTGTCTCTCTGAATGCCAAGTTTAATTGTTGCTAGAGCATTTTCGGCTTTCTAAATGGAAGACTCCATGAACAGCGTGTACCTTATTCTACACCAGGTTTCTCTTCTTAGTCTGTTCAGCTGTTAAACACAATGGCGAATGTTCAGAAAGCCATATTCAGATTACTTGCAGTAAAACCTTTCCCAGGATGTCAAGTATAGAGCAAGCAGCGTAATGAAAGGAGTTTAGTGGAATGGTCTGGAATTTTTTCAGCCCTTTTTTAAAAATCTTTTATTCTACAGGAGATGAGTGATAAGAGTATCTATTTTGTCAAGTGGTGCTATACATTTCATATGATAACTTAGACTGAATCATTTTTAATCAATCTGAATTCAACCAACAAACCATAACTCCACAACTGGCACTTCTGCCTAGTCTATGCTGAGAAAATACAAGTCTGTAAATGCAAAACATGCTAAATCCTACTTATCAGTATAGAATGAAAATAAATATAAAATATGCTTATTTGTTGGGAAATTGGACTTCTCTCCTTGTTCCCACCCACCACTTTTAAACAGACCACCAGCTCAATATTTCCCTACTTACCCAGTCTGTTTTTTTGGACAGTACTCAATACGTTCCAGGAAGTTAGAAAACCAGAACAAAAAGGCCTTGTCACAGAGCAAAGGGGACAAAGAGAAAATAAAGCAAAACCCAAAACTTCACAGACATCAGGGAGGAGATGATGGTCTACTTTGACCAAAAGCTTGGACGGAGTGAAGAAATCGGTCAGGATACGAAATCTAAACTGCAATCTCTGCTGAATGAGCTCACAAGTCATGCAATGTCAGCGAAGCAGGCTACAGTTGGGGAAAAATACCAAATCTATCTATAACCACAAACTCAGACTGGGGTGTGTGTATTTCAGAGGTGCAAATTTAGAGGAAGAAAACAGAAGCAACAGTCTTTGTTTAGCCATTGAGAGGCTGCAAATTGTACCTTTTTTTCTCTCTCCCCATACTGTATGA